TATATATATATATATATATATATATATCACAGAACAAATGAGTCTATAAATATGTCTTAGTGGATGATAAAAATCCAAAATATTTAAAGAATTGTTACAGCATAGCTGGATCTGTAATGGAAAAATGTGACTTTTGGTAATTTTGTTTAGAAAGTGTCACAAATACACAGAATGACATTTAGTTTCTTGTTAGGGCATTTTCCTCACCACAGTCCTTTTCATCAGAGTTGTCCATGCAGTCATCTATTCCATTGCACCTCAGCTCTTTAGGGATGCAGATGTGATTTTGACATGTCCAGTCAGAGTCCAGGCAGCCCTCTGTGACTGGACAGTTCTCCTCATCGGAGCCAGTGGGACACTGCTTTTGTCCATCGCAGCGGGCCGACGCTTTAACACAGCCAACAGAGTCCACACAAGGAAACTGACCTGGCGGACAATCAGAGCCTCGTAGTCCTGAAGGAAAGAAAACAAAAACATTAAAAGGTTCCATTTATTTACCCCTGAACCAACAACCTATACTTGCAGCTCAGGTTAGAAAAAAAAAGTACTTTGCCTTTTGTGCTTCATTTAAAAGTTGTTTTGTTCAACATCACTTAAAGAGTCTCAAACTACAGGAAAAAAAAATAGATAATACTGTAATGTGTAAAGTTATGAGTTTTTTTCCCCACAGGGTAGGGGGGGAGCCCACCAGTGCAGTCCACTTCATCTGATCCATCCAGACAATCTCCATCTCCATCACATCTCCACACAGCAGGAATACACCCGCCATCGTCACACTGCCACTGGTCATGACTGCACTCCGAGATTTGTCCTACAAAATGTGAAGAGTATGAACAAGAAATAAATGTGGTCAGACAAATTAAAACAATAACTTCCTCACTGGTTGTAATTGTATTAACAAAAAGTTGTACAATCATATGACATGCGAGTGGAAAAAGATGCAAAGCAGTCAGAAATAGATGTTTAATGTTCTATTTAAAATTTCTAATTAGAAAGACGACTTTCATACGGTTAAATGAATATCAAATGAAGTACAAATCAGCTCATGATTCTCGGCGTACCTTTGCACGATTTGATCTAAATAAGTACTTCAGTGCTAAATAGGATCCAATGAACGGCGACTTTCGCTTATTTTAAACGTCCTGAAACTCTAATGTTGCTAGTTTCATACTCATTTGTCTCGTTGTTACAATCATTCTGATTAGGCAAACTCCATGAAGCACAGATTATTTGAAATATAGCTCGTAACCCTGAACATCCATCTGCCGCACACAAGCAAAACCCTGACATATAGCGAACCCTAAAATCCACCCCGTAGAAACAGGTTTGCCTATTTTTGTGAAACTGAAAGTGTCTACCCTTGGATAGTCAAAGAAAAAAAATACCTCTCAAAACTCTCAAATGCGCCAGAAAAATCAAACAAACCAACAGGCGCCAATCCATGTCGACCTGCGCGGCTCATCGGGATAAACAGCAGCAGCTGAGAGGAAACGCTTTTATCCGGTAGCTGCGGCGGACAGAGTCACTTCCGATCAAGTTAAAAACGCGAAATAAAATTTGATTTATTCCGCTGTGTTTAAACTTAAACTCGACGTTTTCTTAAAAAGTGCCAAATAAAACATACTTACATTATTTTTAATAATAGCAACCGCACCCTTGAATTAAGTTAATTTAAAGTTGCATTTGGAGAGCTTTCTTTTTTTTTATGGTGATGAAGTTCTACCACCAAGTCAGGCTGATGAATTATTGCCCATTGCGAAAGGTTTTGTGGTTTTACGCACGGAAGAACAGTTACGATGTGTGTGCATGCAGTGATATTTTTGCACTGTCTTTCTAGATAATGATGTTAGTATTTCAGGCTCAACATGGTACCGTGTTACTGTGTGTGCAGTGCACTTTAAGGTTTTCATCTGGTTGTGTTACTTGCGCGCTGTTACATGAAAACATGAATTATATCCAATATGAAATTCTTTCGTTATGTCAATTAATGAAACAATTTGACAGTACTGCTTTTCATTCGTCCAACTAATTGAAACGAATTAGTTAAAGTTTTACATAAAACTAGCTAGTTTGAATAATTTTGTTTGATGTTGTCACAATGACTTAAAGGAACAAAACGACACCTTTGAACAGTTTCACCTTTTGTTAAATGTTTTCATCAGAAGCACGGCAGCTTTGTACATGGGCTCTTTCTTCTTTTAACTGAGGTCCCGAAGCTGTTTAATTTATGAATGGACACGATTAGCGGGCAGTTATCACTCTGGGTGTGTTAGCTTTTAATGGCTTTAGCGTCCGATGAAAGTCGTGTGCCTTTGGAAACGCAATATTACGCAAGGAATGACTTACAGTTTCTAAAACAGTGGCCCAAATTAATTATACTGTCTTTGAACTTTCCCTTGATTTTAATTGTTTTTCTATATGTATTGATATTATATTATATTATATTATATTATATTATATTATATTATATTATATTATATTATATTATTCTGATAATATGCCGGAACACACGCATTGCAGGTTTCTTTTAAAACAGTAAATTAAGGAGATCACCGGTTTGCTTCCGCATATTTTCATATTGTTTATTAATATTTTGCTGATTAGGCTTCCTGATATTTATTGAAAATGTTCAGTTCGTTTTATTCATTTCTGAGCACTGACATCCCTTTAAGATTAACAATACATTAAAATTAAATTAAATTAATTAAAACAAATAACAAACAAAAATCGTATTTATTTTGGTCTAAAATAACCTGTTATATTTTCCGCTTGTGTCCTGGACAGAAATAGGACACAAGGGGTTGCGCAGTTTGTTAATGATGTCATACAAAAAAAAGCAGTTTTTTTGATTAACTCTCTTGTTTCTCCCAATTAATCAAGGCGCAATTGTGTAGCTCATAATCTCTTTAGCTAAAAAATATTATCATGCCTTTTAATCTGAGGGATCGCCAGTATACAAAACATCAATCAGAGTGGGGGACTCCACTTCAAAGAGCACTCTGTTTCGATAGCCCATAGGAGGTCCCTGTTATACCCCTTAGATCACAGGCGTCCTTCAGCCATTAGAGGCCTGACAGCTGTCTTCAAAGAACTTCAGAGAGACACGCGTGATTATAAATCCGGTTCTGGGACTACACCTGACCATTCTGGATCTGCCTACCGAAGAGACAACACGACAAATTATGAAGAGACGAGCTGTGGATTTCGCTTTTGCGCTTCTTCTTCTAGTGGATTTGGTTCAGGCTCTCGCCATCCCTAAGATGCACCCTGATAAACTGCTCCGTGGGAGGAAAGCTCGGGACGGTGGGGCCAGACACGCTGCACAGAGGCACCGCTTTAACAGTCTGCCGCACTACATGATCCATCTCTACCGGGTCATGCTGATCGAAGACCAGATCAGTACTCAGGCTGACAGCGTGCCCCACACTTGGAACGAAGAAAATCTTCACAGCTCCGATTCTGTGATCAGCCTGGTCGCTAAGAGTGAGTATTTAACATCAGGGAAATTACGAAAACGGGCTTAGGTATTTTGAAAGCCATTTGAAAGCCACGTAGCCCAACTTTTCTTTTAGAAAATATGGATGAAAAAGAATAATTTACAAACAGAAGAACTTCATAAATACATTTAGCAGCAAAATGTACTTTAGTTTGACACACTACTACAAAATGTGTTTTTTTCTCTATTCCCCTTTAATAGTTTGCATGTCTATTGTTAAATAAGTCATAGCTTTACCCTGTGGTATAATTCTAAAAATGTCTTTTATCGTATCTGTTTCAGGCTGCCAGCAGATCGGCAGGAGATGGTCCCTCACTTTTGACATGTCCTCCATGTCTGCAAGCGACATTGTCCAGCTGGCTGAGCTTCGCATCCGCCTGCCAGCTTTTAAAGAATCTTCCAGCGCTTCAATAGACATCTACCATTCCCACAGTGAGCGGTGCATGCACTGCCCCGAGAATAGGCTGCTTCTTGGCCACCTTAGAGTTCATCCCAGTTCACTGGTGTCGCCGTCCTCCTGGAAAGTGTTCAACATGACGCACATAGTCCATCGCTGGTTGCAGCATCGGGAGCATTTCGCAAAGAGGATGGGGGAAGAGAAGCCAGAGGAGAGAGAGCAGGAGCATGAATTATTTCAGCACCTTACAGCTGACAGGGTCATCATGGTGGTCTTCTTAAAGCATGAAGCAAAGGACCAGCGAGTACCAATGCTCATCCGCACAGCAAAGCACTCCAAGTACGCTGGTCTGGGCAGGGAGCACGTACCCTCCAGGATGAGGAGTAGCAGAGAAAAGAGGGACCAGCAGACCCAGCAGCAGAGAGAGGAGGGTGGGAGAGATGCTCCCAGCGACAAGGCAACACAAGAGGAGAAAAAGGATCATCTGTGCAGGAAGGTGGACATGTGGGTGGACTTTGAGAAACTCGGCTGGAGTGAGTGGATTGTCTATCCCAAACGATACAACGCTTATCGCTGCAAAGGGACCTGTCCCACACCAGTAGATGAGACCTTCACCCCTACTAACCACGCATACATACAGGTAAGACTGAAACACCTCATCATATGCAACAGTACTGATAATGCCCCAACAGCATGAATAGATGTTCTCTAATCAATTATTTTCTTCTTCTCCGCTCTCCAGAGCCTGTTGAATTATCATCATCCAGACAAGGCACCCTGTCTGTCTTGTGTGCCCACACACCTGGCACCAATCTCCATGCTGTACTTCGAAGATGGAAAGATGGTCATGAGGCATCAAGACGACATGGTGGTGGAGGAGTGTGGCTGCCAATGAGGGAAACGCCTGCAGAAGGGAAATCATATAACCCTTCAACTTGTGAACCACGGGACCAAAGGGGTCTACAGCGAGAGTACTGGGATCTCAGAGCGGCAAAGTGGGTGTGTGTCTGCTAGCACAGAGCTGTCCAGGACAGAGACTGCTGATGTGATGCAGGAAGCTTCTAGTATATATCCTGGACGATTCTCTCTAAATTACAGAGCTAAACAGTTATGAAACAGCTTCTGTTTATAGGAAATTATGTGGGACTATAAGCTGTGCCTTTTAATAGCCATGTCTCAAAAGGCACGACATGATCAGACTTAAGCACTATATTGTCACAGAAACTATGTTGTTTTTATGCTTCAAGACTGAACCTCTAATACCATTGAAATTACAGAATGGTTTACTGTAAGCGCTTTCATTATTATCATTATTATTAATATTCTTTATTGAGACGTTTGGGTCACATTGACCTATTTGTATATTTGCTATATAGGCCATAATAGAGCAATAAATTGTTTTTTTTTCTCTTAAGCAACTTGACCAAATTGTGTTTTCATTTTGAAATGTTGGTGGTAAAGAAATATTTTTACCTGTTAACAGAAAAACCACACACTAGAATTAAAAGCACAGGAGTTGTTGGGTTTTGGTGTCCAAGGCTGTAGATGGAAATGTCTCACAAACAGCCCCTGACTCTACAAAGGTAAAAAACAAACAAACAAACAAACAAAGAGCCCAGGATCTAGATACTGCTGAACAAAACACTAGAAGGCACTTAGGTCTATTGGGTCTGTGTCATTTGGATTAGAGAAGGCTAATAGTATAAATTCACACCCAAAATTATACATACACCCCCACTAATATTTGGTTGAATGTTCCTTAGTAAGTTCAAAACCAACAAGTTGTTTTTGGTAGCCATATCAAGCACCTGGTATAATTCTGGCTGGATATCTGACCACTCCTCCTGGCAAAATTGGTAGAGTTCATTTGGTTTCCTGGCAAGTACATGGCTTTTAACCGTAGTCTGTAAACTTTCAATTGTGATGATGTTGGGGTTTCAAAAAGGTCACATCAGGAGCTTAATGTCTGCTTTGTTCCAAAATGAGAGATCATGTCCTGTGGAACAGCAACTATTGACACTATGTCCAAATTTCAACCATCTAACTGCTGATTTGAGGTGAAGTTGAATAATTATGAGATAATTCCATTCACTTTGTGCAATGTAACAGTACCACCAGCAAAACTGCCCAAGGGCATGATGCCAACAGTTGGGACAGTGTTCATAGGTTTGAAAGCCACCTTTACCCTTCCTTAACATAGCTTTTGTTATTTTGACCAAATACCTTAATATTTGTGTTATCTAACTGCAAATTGCAGTCAAACTCGAAGGTGATGATTTTGGAGCAGGGGCTTCTTTCTTGGTCGACACCCTCTCAGTCAATGTTGATATAAAGCTCACGTCACTTTGGACACTGACGCTAATATTTCAGCAGTTTCCACTTCGTGGCAGGCTTGAACTCTGGTGGTTCCTGAGTTTTTCTTGAACATCCTAAACAATTTCCTCTCACCCTGTATTTACATATAATTGTCAGATGGCTGTGGAGTTGGCAGTTGTCTAGAAATGGCTTCAAGAAGCCTTCCTAACTTGTGTAGATCTCTTTATTGAGTTCCTCGGACTTCCCCGTTGTTCTGAGTGTCGGTGTTTCCAATGAGCACTGTTAAACAAACGAAAAGAGAAACTACCAGGAGTTAATCAATAATCACCCTAATAATTTCAAACTTGTGCAGATAAAAAAAAAAACTACACCTTGAAAAAAAGAACAGTTCAAAAAAATAATTAAAAGTCCCAAATTACCAGGGTATTCATGCTGATGAGAACTGTGTGCAAAAATCTGACCGTATCCAATATCTTTTATCACATTGCTGCATGTTGTGAGTCTCATTAAAAGCAGCCCTAAAATATAAAACATAAGCACCTTTACATCTGAGGTCATAAAATACAGCAGTCATCTATTTACCAGTTTTATTAGACAACTATTTATAATGCAGTTAAACATCATATTTCATTGACACTACTTGAAATTAACAACCCCGAGGTAAGGATGTCTAATTAGTTTAAATGCCTGTTTTCATCTTTCCCCTCCGTCTCCTCATCGCTTCCTCTTCTCACACCTCTGATGGGAGGCACTAAGATCTGAAGAGAGGAGTAAGGATGAGGAATCAAGGATGTGTCTATGGGGGAAACGAGAAAGGGGTGCACGAGTGGGAGAGCAAACTGGCTGCAGGGTTTGCCACTATTTTCATCAGGTGTTACCAATAGATAAAATGAACGGACCAAAAATGCAGATAAGGTCAGGAGAGGTGAATGAAGAAAACGTCTCATCTTACTGCATGTAAATATGTTTATCATTATATTGTAACCCTTCCAAAAAATGGAGATTTAAAATAAATATGAACTTGTCCTCACAATAGTTTCACAAAATATTCTTTAGATTTTACACCAGAAAGTTATTTGGGTCATCGTCACTCACCAAACCACCTAATCTGAGGCTGCAGCTACCCGCAACACTACAGGATGCACTGTGGGTATATTTTAGCTTAGTTTTAGTGTTATAGCTTCTGTTGTTAGAGCTTTGGGTCACTTTGGTTTTTCCACAAACAAAGCCTTCTTATTCTCTAGCCAACAATAGCACGAAAAAGAAAGTTTCCCTCAGTAGTTGCTGATGATCAGACCAAAACTTAAAGATAACAAATACATTCATCAGACTTCCAGAAATATGGTCGCAAATGATTTCTAAAGTTGAACTTCAGTTAACAGTTTGTCTGCTGACACCAAATGGTCAGAGTCACTTACTGCAAGGTATGAAATAAGACTTCACTATAAACAGATCGGTCTCTCTCTTTTTTTATTGGTAAAAACAAATTAGAGACAAGTCATCAAAGTTGAGAAATGAATGAAATTACATAAAATTTTAATTATTTAATTGTAACAAAACCTTGACTTATTTGTCAAATATTTCACAAATCATACAAAGAAAAGAAACTGTTCATGCACACTTGAACAGGAGAGGCATTACAAAACGTTTTCAGAGCAATTCTGAACACAGATTACACAGAAAAAAGGCTCATCGTTTTAAAAGATATGCTTTTTTAATACCGGTAAACAAAAACTATAAACTATGTTGCTTTAATCCTTAAAGCTGACCCGCTTTAGATGTCCATCTCAAACTGGGCATCTTCACCTATAAAAGAAAAAACAACAACAACAAAAAGTGGACAATTAATAGAAATAAGAGTTTAATGAAGTTTCCTATGTAACGTGGTGTGCACATTGCTCATATTGAAGGTGATACAATCACATTCAATCGGTTGCTATGAAACAACGTGTAATCCCCGACTGGTTGGCAGTGGTTCCTAGACACTGTTGGCTGTTGCTGAATAAAATTAGTTGCACGCAAGGTGCTGCATCAAAAACCTTCTAGTGATTGATTTGGTCGCTAGCAGATCACCACAGCTACCTGCAGTTTTCCATGTTTGTTGTCAACAAAAGAAAGCAGACATGAAGAATGTTTGCCTTCAAAGTTTCATAATGTGTAAAGTTTACTTTGAAATGATTGGCCCTTAAGAAATTGTTTCCCCACCTGCTGCCATCAACAACCACTCAATCAGTCAAGGAATCCTTATTTTTGCCAAATGGTCACAGACTGGTCTCCACTGCAAAGCTTTACAAGCTCATGTGCATTTTCCCATCTTTATTATGCACACGTTTACCTGCGCTCTCTGCATGCACGCTGTGGTCCGTGTTGTTGCTGAGCGACTGATCGGGCTGGTTTGTGTCGCTGGAGGCATCGGGCTTGAGTGGCCGGGTGACGCCTGGGATGTCAGGCAGGTTGGGCGGCGTGCGAGTCAGGGGAGATGTCCGACACTGCAGGAGGAACTTCCTGTCGTAGATGATTCTGGTACCTGCGGGTTAGCATTTTCTTAAAGTGATGACTATTTGGGAAAATTCCAGTACAGCAGATAATCCTTGTACATACTAAAACAGATTTCAAAATAAAAATAACATGGAATAAATCAAATGTAAACAATGATGAAATAAAATAAAGATTAAAACTACAACTATTAATATAAACTTTAAACATGTTGGTGCACAAATAGCTTGCCTGCTTTTCTCTGCTAGTGTGACCCAACAATGCGCAGGTCCATACATGCCCATGACATTTAGCCCAATTTTGCAGCCCATATCAGCTATGTTGGTACATATTCAGTGACTCACTTGTGTTTTATCTGTGTCCCACCTGCTAATGTTACAGGACACAGTATCAGTTGTAGTGGGCATGTGCATCTGAGTCAGGTTTCTCACGACCGCTGAGGGAAAACATTTTCTTTCTTAACTTTTATCTCTGCAGTTGAAGCTTCCCAAGGCCCCAGCTTGTCAATGTTTAAAATAAAACAATGGCAGCCCCCCAAAATGAGAGAAAAAAAAAAAAAAGGTCAAAACTGAGCTTACTGCTGGTCCAGGTCCTGAGTACGGCCTCAGATGATCTCTGTTGTGTGTAGCTTGACCAGTTCAGTTTAGATTAAAATATTTTCTTTTGGCTACAGCTTTAAAGTTTTCTGAAATGTTCACATTAGCAGTTGGCATTTTATGTTGGTTGGTGAGTAAGCTTTTGGATTTTTTTTTGTGATCTCTCACAATCATTAGTCCCACTTGTTCATAATTAATACAACCAGTGTGTCCATGTTTAGTAAACATGTTGCTATTGCAGCTCAACAACAGGCTGCTGTAATACCAGGACTATAAATAGGATGTGACTGAGCACAGGCCAACATTTGACCTTACAGTCGTAAACTGTATATGCAAGTAAACATAGGCTGCACACTGCCCACACTCTTGGATAATGACACTGAAGCTGCCATTCATAAGTGACGACTTCCACATTAGATTAAAGCTTATGCACATAAAAACCTCATGCAGAGGGGGCAAAATGCTAGATTTTGTAACCAGAGCCATCAGACACATGCAGGTATAAGTCTCCAATCAGCATAAATGGGAAAATAATTAAGGGCGGAGGAATAAAGCCATGTAAAATACACTGAAATAATCTCTGGTTTTGTTAAACAACTGCAGTACGTGGATCCATAAAGTACTGCTTCTGCTAGCTGTTATACTTCGGGACACACCAACGCTGTCAAACATTAACAAGACAACATGACAGGACCTCAGTTACCTCCATTACCACGAACTGTTTTTGGAGCTGGATTTCAAACATAACTCCAAATATCTCTCTCTTTTTGTTTTTGTCAGGCACAAGTATACAGCACTTTTTGGATATCTTTTAAAAAAAATATCCCACTCGGCTGCACATTTATTAAATTTGAGTATACTATTTTTAATAGCTGTACAGTATTTTTTTAATGTTGTAAATTTGTTGTAAAAGATCTTATTTCTTGCTTTTTATTTTATATTCTTTACTTTTATGTGAATCTCCATGCCCCGTCTGCCTGCCACGTTACTGCTGGAATACGTGGATTTCCGCAGTGGGGGACTATAAAGGATATTTCTATTCTATTTCTCTGTCTCTAAGTCATATGGATAAGCTAATCATGATCTTGGGATACTAAGTAAATAATTTTAAATAAATAATTATAATTTTTTTTCTGATTAGCATCTGAAGAGGAAAATAATTCACATGTGAGCAAACCTTTTGGCTTTTGAGACCAAAACAAAAGTTGGTGCTGCTGCTTTCTAAACTCCTTAACCCTCTGCATACCCCTGACATGTACAAGCTGTTCAAACTGCTGCTTTCAGGTAGGTGCTACAGAGAGCTGTTTACTCAACCAGCCGCTCAGACTGTCACCCACTGTTGTGTCATTCAGGTCATATGCATTACTGAGTTTTGCAAGTACAGTTTGTATAGTTTCTTAAGACTTTCTGTAATAGGCGTGTACTGCCTATTGAAAAAAAAGCAAATAAAGAGTAAAAATAGATACAGATTATTCTGAATCCCTCTCTTTCCTCATTCTGGACATCAGTACCTCCGGGCGTGGTGCTGAACAGAGTTCCTCCCGGGGTCGTGGAGTAGTCGTTTGGCAAATGCGCAGCGTCGTGGATAGCGACCCGCCTGACGGCTGGGATATCCCGGCTCCTGGTGGCCTGGCCTCCCGCTGACATCTCTCAACTCTATGCGCTAATGACACTCCACAGATGAGGAGAGCTGCATGTACGCCCGCAGACTGAGCATGGAAAGCTACACTATGCCTCCACGTGCTCTGAGAAAACCCAAAACAACATCCCAGGAACTTCCTACAAAACGACACGTGGGGCGGTGGGCTATGATTGGCTAAAACTAGGGGGCGTCACTTGATGTTGACAGTGGATGTTGTAGTTTTTTCCTCCCTCCTAATCTGCAGCAATCAAATACATGCAATGGTACATTTCTGCAAGAACACTTTACAGCAACAGCAACAATAAAAATATACAGCAAACACATTTTATAAGACATTTGTCGTGCGATTAAAATGCACAACTGTTCAAAATGTACAAAAGATTTTCAAAACCAACACAGAGGTAGGCTACAATCATGCAAATTTCTACAACGGGATGGAAATGTAGTGATTTCAATGACAAAGAAGTTCAGTTTGTATACTTACAGTGGATGATAGCGTAAATGGCATTCTTAAGCACATTCCACAAATCAGTATATGATCAACTACAGTAAAAACATATTTATGAAGAGAAAACACTGTGACAGTTAAAAATATTAATCATGCTCTTTTTGAGTTTCTTTCTTCAGCCTTTTAACCATACATGACAGTACAATAAATTAACAGTCTGTGCATATTTGTACATTTGGCAGACCAAAAGGATCTTTCTTCCTTCTTCTTTCTTAACTGCTTAACACTAAAAACTGACGATTCAAAGAAGCTGAAGCCAATCCCGTTTATTCAATCACCACTTTGTGGGGAAAAGAACAATTAGACGTGAGATATCTGAAGTTCTCGTGTATGTATGTATTGTGTATGTGCAACTGCTTTGTACGGAAGCGTAGAGCTGCCACCCAGGCAAAAGAAAAATACAAGTGTATCATGTTATAACGTGAAAGGTTTATTGTTCTAACAAGATACTTTTCCTGTTTGTACAATATAATATTTATATTGTACGAACGTGATAATTATGTATATTGTAATAACGTGATATTATGTTGTTCAAACGTGAAAAGTATATTGTACAAACATGATAGTATATTGTACAAACAGGAAAAGTATCTTGTTAGAACAATAAACCTTTCACGTTATAACGTGATACACTTGTATTTTTCTTTTGCCTGGGTGGCAGCTCTACGCTTCCGTAGCTTTGGGACATTTTCCTCGAAAATAAGGTTTCAGATGCATAAGAAGGGAATAAATATTGCATAAAATTATTGGATCTGTCGAATAAAACATTAAGAAGATGCATGTTTGTAACTTCTCAGACATCCAGGACACACGTCTGTGTCTTGAGGTGTGAGACGGTACCAATTCAGTGATACATCCACAGAGTAAAAAGACGGCACTTAAATGCACTTGCTGCGAAAACAACACACCACATTTATGTCACATCTTTGTTTATTAATTCTTGTAAATGGTTTGAGCTGGTGTACAGGGTAAAATGATCTATACATATCTTCATGTCAGAATGACTCTGATTGAAAGGCTTGTATACATATTCACGTTGGTTTATCCTCTCTCCGGGACAATACAAAAGAAAAGAAAACAAGTGGTCATAGCTACAAAGCCTCTACATTCCCCATGACGTGGACGTCGGCCTAGTCTAGATAATGCTTAAAGAACATCCATAATAACTCTATGAGGGTGCATAGCATTCTAATTAAATATATTTTGTCATATATTTATACATATATTTTCATAAAAACATCTTTTTTTTGTGCATGTGCGCAGTTGCATTCCTTAGGATAGAGTAATATGATATTGCGTTTACATTGTCATGTATCCATTCTAAAGGAGTATAGGTGATCTTTATTCTTTGCAACAGTTAAAATTTTACAATACTCTTTAAAATACATTGCTGTAGGTTACACGTCCTCTCAGATCACATGCCTGGGAAATTGCGGTCTCTCTTCTTCCCGCTGATCCAACCAGAATTGGAACCAAACATCATGATCATTATCATCATCATCATACACACACACACACACACTCACAAACACTCGCATACTGTACATACAAACACTGGGGAAGTGCACAGGATCACAGACAAGTTTAATTCAGACGGCAAATCCAAATGATCTATGTATGGAAACATAATTAAACTACTTCATACATCATTTTGCTTTGTGGAGACTTTTTTTTCAGGATTTCAAATGTGACTAAGCAGGAAGTTAAGCAGGAAGACAGCTCCTTAAAGTCAAAGTTATGATCCTTAAGATTTTAGTCTTGGCTGATGCCTCTGGGGGAAGTAAGCATGTTTTAAGAGTACTGACTACACTCAAAAAAATCTGTTGTGGGATGAACACATTTTAATCATGGCACCTATTTCCATGTGATTTAACCAAGTACAATAACCCATTTTTGACCATGTCAAACCAACACATTTGGCATTTGGTGGTTTAATGTAATCAGATTACGTTGGATCAACGTAGTATACTTACATTGACTTGAAGTGATTTATTTAAATATGTAGAGTGAAATTTGTTTTAATTCATGCTACACAAGTTAAAAACTTTAGGAAAACACAATGAAATCTTGTTGTTTGAACAACTACTTTGTTAGTGAAGGCAATTACTGCTAGTCTTGCTTAATGAACCAATATGGGGGTTGATGATTTCATAGAGACAAACAATCATTTGCACTTACAGTCATGGGTAATTTAGAATCACCAATTAACCTAACTCTAATTACACACTGCAAACCAGACAGATTGTGGATAAATAAATAAACGATAACGTGTGCAGTGTCCCTTGGTTTTTCCTGCCAGATCCAAACCTTGCTTGTGCCATCTGGTTCCAAGGAAACACAAATTAACAACCAAAATGCTGAAATTGAAGCTTCAAAGTGGGTCTCTACAAATCAGGGGGTGAGACATGCTGTGAGATTATGGGAGCTATGGCCAATTTTTTTTTTTATAAAATGTCAGTGACCAGATTTGCAGTCACTTCAAAAATATAGTATATCAATTAAGTGCAAACATTTTTCCAAAGTTTCTTCACATACAAAAGAAAAGCAACAGTTCAATCAGAGCTCCAACAAAATCATGGGATTAGCACTAAACTTTAGGACTGTTGCATGCATCCACCATTTTACATCCACTACGGTCACACAGTTTTTTCATGAACCAGTTTCTTGCTGCTGATAATAAAACTAATCTACTAAGGGATGCAAATTGAAAAACCTCTGACCTTTAACAGCATCAAAATACATTTTTTAGAGTATTAATCTTAAGGATTAAAACCTCAACACAGAAATAAAACATCTGGATCCAACCCCCATTCTTGTGCTGATACAGTAAAAGTCTTTAAGACTAACAGAGTGATTGTGGGAGCTGTGAAGTCGAGTGGGCGTCTTGTTTGTCATTTGTTGACTTTATCTTCAGCATAATGGCCGATTAGGTAAGATTACACAATAACGTGCATCGACAATTGAAGGTATACATATGAGAAGATAATTGTTTTATATTTATCTGGTGAAAGGAAAATCTTTTGCCTGTGCTTCAACAAAATTTATTTGGCTTTTTTTTTTCCAACCTGTGACAAAAAAAACAACCAACCAACAAACAAAAAATGAGTAAAGACAAAAATAACCAACAGTGGTGTCACAGCAGGAGCAGTGCACCAGCGAGGTTAAGTAGACATGCTGGCACTGACCACACACTCAGTGTTTTTTGGTCTAATGTGAATCACACAACTAAACTACACACACACTTGCACCAAACCACCCTGCTCCACCAAGAAAAAGTAAAAAACCAAACCAAAAAAAGCCCACGCATCACCATCCCACCTCAAACAGCCCCAACAGAAAACTCTAAATCGCTCACTTGTGTCCCACATTTGTCTTTGAGAGGATGACTCAGAACTTAGAAACAAACATCTTTTGTTCTTTCTGATAGAGCAGAACTGAAAACCTGAGTGAAGTAACAGTGGAAAACGTGCTATTATCCCATGAGGTTCTCGTGCATGGACTGGGCGTGGAAAGTAAGTGCATTTGCGTGATGTATAACCAATGTGTTCATTCATCCGGTCTCACTCATTCAGGCTACAGTAGCATTTACAGTACTTATGGGAGATATAGGTGATTTTAAGGAAATGCGTGCTACTATGATGTAACTCCTTCATGCTGCTGCCAACCAGTTTCTGCATAAAGTGTTTCAGAGGTGATGAGCTGATGATTTACAGAAACACAAGTTGAATTATCCAGGGAAAAAAAGAAGGAAAACAGAGTTCGGTGGATTCCGCCTCATGGCAGCAGCAAGCTTCTTAACAGATATTAAATGAAGATATCCTGGTTTATATTTTGCTACGTTAAGTGCTGAAACACAAACACTCTCCGGCCTCCAAGGTCTCGCACTGCTACAGCTGAGTCATCTCATCTTGCATCAGTACGTCCTGACTCACTCACTTCAAGGGCGAGCTTCAATGCCAAATGCTGTTCATCCAGATACAGTTTGTGTCTTCTCTGAGGAAACCAGTCTTTTACAGTTGCCGCTCCATCTTCATGTTTTTTTTGTTTCTGTGTATTATTGCTGTGGCAAACTCCAAAGAAAACAAGAAAAAAAAAACAACAACAACACTGACCAGGCAATAATTATTTAACCGTGTGATCTATGTTTGTGTGTTTCTGGAAATGTGTTCATATATGTTTCTGTGCTTTTGCCTGTGCTATATATGAATGTGGGTCTTGACAGTTCACGAGTCTGGGGTCAGTGTTAATAAGACGATCACAGTGCTACCTGTCTGTCCTCGCTGCCATTTCACTCTCGCTTAGAAATCCTCAAATCACGGCATCGTCACACGAATGAGATCCTTCATGTTTTCTTCACCACAATTTGAAATATTGACTCAAAAATTCAACAGTGATGCGCTACAGCCACTGCAAGCAGATAAAAGAGGGAGCACAGAGGGTTTGGAGGACCTTTAGATGCTGATGGGAGAGGACTGTGATTTGACTGCATATAGACTGAGGCTACTGATAGATTATGGGTGAAGGTAAAGTATGCTACTGGGGAAAAAAAAGAAAACAAAAAAAGCAATGGAAGAGCACAGAAAAGCTTGAGGGAATAGAAAGTCAAGCTTTGTGCCCTCAGAGCTGCTGTACAATGCAATCGAGCACCCACGCTTTTTCCAAAGAAAACATTCCCGCTGTCTGAAAACATTCCCCCTGAAAACACGAGGGGAGCTAGAGGTTCATTTCTCATCCGCAGTCAAACAAAGCTGAAACCCAAAGTGGACGAGTCCCAAAGAAACAATGAGGAGCGATCTTCATCCACAAAGGAAAAAAAATTAAAAATGTAAAAAAACGCACGCGGACAAGAAGTCACGAGCAGGGCAGCACGGCGGCTTTCTCATTCCAGCGCTGAGCACGCCGTGACATTACAGGGACAACAAGCCAATCATGGGGAAGGGCTCAGCGCCAAGCCGGAAGCAAGAAACACATGCGGTAGAGAAAAATACACGCACACACACATACACACACTGACACATGTCCACGTAGCATAGAGTGCATATATCACATTTAGAATAACAGGGCAAAGGGTCCAGTGAAAGAAGCGTTGGGAGGCTCAGCAGAGGCTTAGCTGTATAGAGAACCATCCATTGAGGGACTTCTTTTTTTTGGCTGTAGTGTTATTAGACTCAACTTGCTGAAACAAACCACTCCAGTTGGGGGAAAGAAGGCCCTTAAAAAAAGCCTGTAACCCTTATGTGGGTCCGCCCCCGTACCTTGTACCCCTTCAGTTTGTAGATAATGACAGTTCAAAAGGGCATGCACCAGCAGTCATCATGCGATTACAGTTCACAGGAAGCACTTTGTTGCTTTTTTTTTCTTAGTTGTTTAACTAACATTTATGTTTTTTTGTATAAAAAAGAAAAAGAAACGGTATCGTCATGCCTTAATCTAGTTGATATTTTTTTTTACAAATATTATAAAACTACAAGTTTAATTCCTGTTTTTTTTCTCCTCTTCTATTTTGTTTTGTGGTGCTCCATGGTCACAGGTTGAGGATGATTCTGTTTGTTTTTTTGTTTTTTTAAATAGTCTGCACTTCCTCCATGCTCATTTTCCTCTGCGGTCCGGTCGTGTTTTCGTGGAGGATGGTTTGGCAGTGGCTTTCCGGTCCTACAAAACAGAGACAAGGAGTACACCAGTAGATATGCATCACATGGGCTAAATTAGTCTTAGCTTCTATAAAATCACTGCCAAAGTTTAACGAATGAGACAAAACGACGTATGAGAGATGCTTAGGCTCTAACAGGCTCCAACAGGGTGCCGTAGAAGGCATCTATCCAAGCACTGGGATGCACTAGTGCTTGTGTCCCATACCTGAAGGGATGGGCAGAAAGTGTATTTCAGTGTTTAACTCTCCGCAGACTGCTGTGCTGCACTGACTGAGCGCCCTTTCTCACATCCACCGCCACCTGGAGCAAGGAGGCAGGGAGGAAGGAAGGAAGGAAGGAAACAACACTTGGACCAGTTAACGGCTGAAGCCTCCATGTGAAACCAGAGCAGGAAACTAACTTGTCTGCCCACCTGGCCGCTGTGGCTCACAAATTTACCATCATTTCACAGTTAATCAGCCAATCAGTCACAAAAGATTTCATGCCATACAAATGCCCGTTTTTATAATGTCATTTTTAAAAAGCTTTTTTTTAATGATGATCTCTGAATCATAATTGGTTTAAGTTCACATCTGCTGTCAACATTTGCCTTGTGGCTGCTGTTAATTTCCCACCCTGTTGGCCAGGCTTTGTGAATAACTCACAGTAAAAAGCACGGGGTTTGCAGTGCTTGGGTGTGACAAAAGGTTATCAGTGTTAACTAAAACTGAAAGTAGGTGTGAAGAAGGTTTCAACTAAAGTTCAAATTAAAACTAAAACAAGTGAGAATTTTTACCAAATGAACTAGAACTGAAAATATACAGAAAACAAATAAATTCAATTAAAAAAATAATAATAGAATAGAGCGATGATTGTCCTATTCCAATGGCCTGAATGGCCAGAGTCCTTCAAACTTATATAAGGGGGAAAGGTGGCTCATTACAGCCAAAGTATGCAGACGTGCTGAATGTATAGCATATTGAATCTTTAAGCAGACGGATTACATCAGTAGAAGACCGCACCAGCAGCTAACTGACGCTACTGTCTTTGCAGGCTCACCAAAACTGGATGAAAGAACATTGGAAAAATGTCTGGTCCCATAAGTCTTTCGACCACAAGATAAAATGGCAGGGACCACATTTTATGCAAATAACGTGAAAGCATGGCTCCATCCTGCCATACATCAGTGGTTCAGGTTTGAGTCGATGGTGTAATGGTGCAGGGATATTTTCTTGGGACACCTTCAGCCGGTGAATACTGACTGACCAACAGCCTACTTATTGTAGTTGATGACCACCTCCATACCTTTATGTCCAACTTCATTTGCTGCTTTTCTGATCTTTCACTATACTTCCCCAATTCTTCCTGTTCATAGTGAACTCCATTGCAACTTCCCTGTGCAACTTTTCAGAAAGTCCGGCAGGCTATGTGCTGTTGAATTTTGGAGCTTTGCAGGCAAGCACATCTGCACTGGTTGCAGAGTCACAATCCTTCCCTTTGTGCAGCCAAAGACCTTTGGCAAATGTTTTAGTATTTGTCAGTTTGGTCAAATATGTCAACGCAATATGCACAAAGACATTTCACTGCTGTGAGTCAAGGTTTTGCATTGTAATGCCTCTTGGAATTACTTACATTTTGCCCATGACAAGCACCCAAATGTCACCATGAAAAATAGGTAAACTTAAAAAAAGCAACTGAACAATCAAAACTAGACTGAAATGAGCAAATCCACCATGAAAGCTGAACTCAAAATAAGTGAATAAATAAAATTAAACAAAACTCATAACAAATAAACAACAATTATAATGTTGGTATGACCATGATTCACTGCAAATGAAAAATACCCACAAAGTGACTCACCTTTCTAGCAAGTGCATTTCCACGTTCTTCAACAAACTGTGCCTCAGCAACATACTCCTCCTTCTCCTCTCTCTGTTAAGAAAAAAAGGCCACAATTTATATATATTTATAAAATCCATTTCTAATTCTTAACAAGGTGTTCTCAATCACAAATGTTAAATCATATTAATGGGCAGCTTTTCATTGGATGTGTTGAGCTGTGCAACACATCATTCTGCTCTGGTTCTGTGACTGATTGTGGTCAATCATCTGTTCTGATGATCGTTCAGTGAGATTAAGCTGTTGATGATTTTTTTTTTTAAAAATCAAACTGAATGACAATCTTCCCGGTTGATCATTAAAAAAAGAAAACATGGAAAAGATGTTCCCCCTCCAGGCGCAGGGAGCGGCAGGTGGTCGGCGTTGCAACCTGACCTGTCCCCGCCTCTGCTCCTGTTCCCAAGCTCGCTGGCCTGCCTCCTGATGAGAGAAGCCCAGCCCCTTGTCAAAGGGCTGCGTGCCCTGCAGGAGGCGCCCACGCAGCACATGAGAGTAACCAGTGTCACACACCGGAGTCAGCAGAGCCTCCTGGGCCACGTGCAAGCCTGGCACGCTGCCGTCACGCGTTGATGACACCGAGCCCACCCAGCCTTGTAGGGAGTCCTTGTCTGGCATGTAGGGTTGAAATGCTCCTCCTCCCACCATCCTGAAAAGCAGAACGCGAATAGACCAGAGGGAAGGGAAACAAAGAAAGCAGATATGTTAATTCTGAGTACAGGCAGTGGAAAAGAAACATATATAGAGTGATGGCGATCACACACAGTTGACTTACCGGTTGTCTCCGTTGTGCTCTGTAGCTCGACCCAGCCCCGTTATCTCACACCTCTGGGAGTACACCTGTTGGCCTGAAACAACAGAAATCCCTTCCACTGAGCCCAGCCCTACCATTCCACCTCCTCCTTTTGCTCCTCCTCCTACAGCCACACTCTCCACTCTCCTCACGTCCGACCTCTGACCTCCCAGCTGGCCATTTAGATTGACCTTGGGAACGGCACCACTGGCTCTCACCCTGTCCCTTTCCGCCAGTGCACTTGCTGGCTCCTGTGGTGCCTCCTCCTCCTCAACCTCCCCTTCCTCCTCCTCCTCCTCCTCTTCCTCCAGCTCCATGATGGAGCCGCTGGCCCCGCTGGCTCCACTGCTTGGGCGACCCAAGCTGCAGGGTAAGGAGAGCGTGGCGCCCTCTGAGTCGTCAGCCCGACTGCTGCCCTCTAGTGACGAGTCCTCCACTGTAACCAGAGAGGGGCTGACCCCTGCTGGCCACACCTGAACGTCCGACATCTCCATTAATGTATCTTCCTCTGTGGTGGCAATGGGGGCGCACTCGAGGCTGGAGACCTCTTGCCAGTAGGGCTCCACGCCCAGTGGAGATGGCAAGCTGTACTGCATGGAGGCCGGGGACAGAAGCTCCTCCTGCACCAGCCCATAACCTGGAGGGAAAACAGGAGCGAGACAAGAGATAGACTAACACCAAGCAGGCACAGCCACTGAGAGGATGGGGAGGTGGTGGGACAACTGTTTCTCCAACCTACCAGGGAAACAGTGGGGCTCAGCTCTGTCCCAATATACCAAGACAAAAGACTTTCTCTTAATCAATTACTTATCAATCACAATTTAGAATTCTAATTTAGGATTAAGATGCCTTGATGCTAAGCCAGTAATTCTGACTTGACTCTCAGTTAATCCCAGCCAACATGTTGCTTTCACGCTTTCGATCTAAAAGGCAGAACACAATGATATTACTCAAAAACTGTTACTTTGGCTAATCGAATAAAAAAAAATTTCTTTTCAAGTTTGCAGAGCTATTCAGGTAACTGTCATTGGGACACAGCAATTTGTGAGGTGAGAGATAAAAGAATTTGGTGAGTCATCCATTGTTTGTGAGGTGAGTGATGCTGGGCTCTAGCTTGCTCCCACTTTCGGAAAGTGAATCTGCAGAACAGAAACTGTTTCTCGATAAGAGAAAAGAAAGATGAGTGTAGGGTTCTTTAATTGATTGTGGGGTTGGCACGATATTCTTTTTTAATAATTTAAGGCTTTGCTCTCTTTAGTATAAATTTTCATCCTTTTTTGCTTTACATCAACATTTTATTATAATTTTTTTTTCAAGGTAGGTTTAATTGAGGTAAAGCCTGGATTTTCCACATAGAGGATTGCACAAATTTTGTTTCCGGTGCTAAAGTAGCAGCTGTGATACAATTGCCAAACATGCAATGAAACGTCGCTTATCGTTCCAACCCTTGTCACAAGTCTCTGCGGGGGAGTCAGCAGCATCTTGCAGATTCTGGAAAAGAAAATGCAAGTTACTGCCGCATTCTCCCTGACTGCAGCTGCACATCAGAGTCATGCATTCATGTGTCTGTACGCAAAAGATCCCCTGCCCGGCACCCACTCAGAAAAATAAACAAATAAAACAAGTCACACACACACACGCACACACACACACACACACACACACACACACACACACACACACACACACACAACTTTTAATCTAAGGGTAACTAAAAAAAATAGAATCACTGCATGATGTGTTGTTTAATCTTATCCTGCTAAATCACAAGTCGTTGATTATATTAGATCCAATTAGATTGGTTTACACATTTCTATTATTAGTTCCAGGATGACACTTATTATGCAGCTTGTTGGACTACTTGACAAAAAGACGCACAAAAGCACACAGTCAAATTCACAATCACACACTGTAGTTGGTTCTAATTTATATCATACATATTTTAAAAAGAAAATTCAAATTTTGTTAGAATCTTTATGTAATCTCATTGAGATTTGACATGATCTGAGATTTTCGTTTCAAAGCTTGTTTTATTTTCTATGATAAATAATTAAAAATTATTAAATATACATTTAAAAATATATTTTAATTTTAATGTCTTTTTTCATTGTTTATTTTTTAAGACTATTTTTACATTTACTTTATATTACTACTACTACTACTACTACTACTACTACTACTAATAATAATAATAATAATAATAATAAAACATTCTGAATGTAAAATTTTTCATATTTTTCACATTTCATTTAACTCGAAGCTTCTAACCCATATGTTGATCTTTGGTGATACTTGAACATGGTAACACTTATATTTTGACACAAATCTGGATTAATTAATTCCGTTAACAAAATATTTTTAATAAACTAGTGTGTCAGTGAGTTCAGATGAATAGAGACTTAACAGTAAAGTTGTATTTCACCCATATGAAACAAAGAACGGCACACTGACAGATCACAATGATAAACCACTGTAAAGCACAAAGTAGAGGCTGTGCTGTAATGTGAGGTTGCAGGCCGAATAGACAACCCACAGAATGAGTATAGTATGAGGTTAAACTCAAAATAATACTTTTAGTTCAAATGTCTTTGTGCAATGAAACATGTTAATTCCTGATCCTCACTATATCCTGGCATCAGGGACAGTACACATGAACTAAATACAAAAAAAGTGTGTAAACCCTATTAGCATTTAATGTGTAATATCTTTTTAAATACACTTTTAACAGAATCAGTCATGAATTTATGCCCACCAAGAAGGCATCCTGATATCTCTTGGTACTAAATGGAAAATGCTCTGACGTTCATCTGTGGAAACAAAACACAGTTTAAAGTGAGACGTATCTGAAAGTTACCACAGAAAGTTTCTTAGACCTTCATGCACCGCTACTTTTGTTCATTTAACCATAATTTAATGTAGTAATGAGGCTATGGGCAAAAAACGACTGAGTAAAGCAACATAGCAATTCTACCTTGTTGTACTATCAGTAAAACTACTTCTGTATATTTCAATGACACACTAATACTAATTATCACAGTATGCACATCTATGGAGCTAAAAATCTAAACCTTTTCTGATGTGATCCACAACACTGTAATGGGTAAAATACACCTTTACTGTGTAAAGTAATTGTCTCTCAGAGTTTATGCAACAATGGTCCATTGTGTGGGTACACATGTGTGTGTTTCTGGGATGGTACAGGGCCAGAATGATCAGAGGTGGCATCAGAATGAGGTGAGCAAGGAGGGAATGAATCAAAATTAGAATGAGAGTTAGAATGAGTTAGATGAATGTGGGTTAGCCCTTCACTCCTGCTGCTGAAACACAGACACGCTCACACAGGTGTCAAAGGCACAAAATGTAGTGAAGCACAAATAAACTCCACGGAGAATCTCATGGTACAAGAAACAGAAGAGAAGAGCACTACACAGCACACTTTACCACAGCAAACACACACTCACACGCACACATACATGTATAAACGCACAACACTGCATTCATTTAAAAACACACAAGGAGGACACACACTTTTAGCTCACAGGTGACGCTCGGATGTACAAAAAAACCATACACACCAGAATCAACACACACCTCACAGTAAAATCCCTGCTGGCAAATAACGTTCACACAATGTTAGCAGCAAGGCCATCATCAGACTTGGGCAAAAAAATACTGCATAGAAAATTTAGTTATAGATAATTCATGGCATTTTTTTTTCATTTGTTACTGGATTTAGCTCTTTTAATTTTAAATATAGTAACTGCCAAACCAATTACACAACGGTTAAGTGTTAAACCACTCAAATTGTAACTTACCAAACATGTGATTATTTTGCCCATGAATGAAGACCACCACAGCAACATTGTATGTTGAGCATTATGTGCTATGCAGCTGACCATGTGTTATAGCGTAGCATTAAAAAACACACACCATTTATTTTACAGGAAAAAGAAAAAGAAAACATTTGTTTGTTAATATAGCGTTAAATAAAAGACTGAAATACATCCATGAACAGAGAAAATATTTTACACTGTGAAGAAAACGTCATACGTTGAAAGCATGCCATGCACATAAAAGATGTCACAAACAGCAAACATTATTCTGTTCAAGAAACTCTGCGCTCAAACGCACAAACACACACACCCACGCACACCTGTACAAATGGCCATCTTGTGTTGGGGTTAAAATTAATTTTAAAATATTTTTGTGTAACTAAAATATTGAACTTACTCTCTATAATCTTGGAAGAAAACTAGAAAAAGTATGAATAAATTTCAAGCTCGGCTATATGATGTCATTTTTACTTGACTTACTTTGAATAAATAAGTCTGAAACACACACACACACACGTGCACACATGCACAGACACACACAGATATTGGAACAGCAAAGCATGCAGCATGCACATGCACAAACTGTAGTACACACACAGAGCTGTTTTAAAGAGGAGGAGAGGGTCCCCACTCGACTGAACGAGGGAGGAGCGCGGGAAAATAAGATGACAAGAGAAGAGGAGGCCCAGAGGTCAACATGAGGTCATATGAGGTCAGAGGTCGGACAGGAAGAGCTGTGAGGAGGAAGAAGAGCAAGAGAAGGGAGGAGGACGAGGAGTAGCGGGGCGGCTGGGCAGCAGATATGACATGTTACAGGTTCAGAGAAAAAAAAAGACAGAAAGTAGGACAGGATCCCGAGGAAAAGACAAAATTTCAAGACTGCAAGAAGACATTGTCGCTGGGGACCAATGTCTGCTGTCGATCAAGCACAACGTGACAGGTGAAATTTTATCTTGTTCTCAGACAGAAGAAAGAGAAAGAAAGAGGCAGGGACAGAAACAAGGTATGGAGGCCCAGAGCACACTGTCATCTGTGCACCAGCGCCACTTTTGACTAGTGTATCCATCCCAGACAGGACACATAAGGGCGTGTATGCACACACACGTGCATGTATGTGTACACACACGCGCAGAGCCACACATACACCCACATGTAATCTATAAAATCTCGAACGTTACCCATACGTTAACTGTTGGCTGTTTTGCAGACGACTTAAACCCCTGTCAGAAAAAGTGACTTATCCTCGTTTCTCATATTGAGTCAGAAGAATAAATGCCATCATGTTTAGGGCTCAAGTATGAGGTGTGAAAAAGTGTAACGTAAAAAGAAAAAGTAAAAAATAAATTAAAAAAATGAAAATAAAATGATGTGTGCCCCAGTGAGGAGAGGCGGTGTTACTGCATGCTGCAAAAAGCTTGCTTCATGGTGGAAGAATGACACCATTCCTCAGACCTCAAAAATGGTATTTGAGAATCATTATCATTGGTTTCATCATCATCATCATCATCATGTGCACTACAGGTCATGAGCAGCAAACCACCATGCAACCCAAGTTCCCTTCAACTTACCCCTTCTGAAAAACGGGGGTCTAATAACGCGTGGCTTGTGCACTAGGCGCGATGGCCTTGTGTCCGTGATCTCTTGTGGGGCAACAGAGACAAGGTAAAGTGGCTGTTACCCACACTCAGAGAAGGCAAGGAGGGGTTTTCAGAGGTGGAAAGTAAATGAGAATAAAAGCCTCACCTTCTTGGGCTGAAGAATTTAGTCTCTGATTTTTGGCAGTGAAGATTTTTTTTAGGAAATAATTTCCGCTCTATGCTTTCTACAACTTTTTGTGGGGTCCCACCGTGTTTTTTCCATTTACATCTGCATTTCCTGATATTTTGTGGACGTATCTATTTGGAAATGACCAAGTACACCAGATACTGCACTTGCACAGTAAATTGAGCCTCTCATTATTGTTGCCTCTAAAATCTTCTTGAACAGGAAATTCCTGAAAACTTTCCATTTCTGACGGTTACAAACCATCATGAGAACATCAGTCTTGCAATAAACATAACAAGTATTGAACCCTTTGTTTTCTGTAATTACAACACATGTAGCTAGAGAAGTCAATCTATTTAACAATACAAAATACAAAATTAAGGCACAGCATATCTTTGCTAATTAACTGTAAAGAGGTAATTTGTTAAAAAAAATGTTGAACTGACCCTTCTTATATGTCCTGTGTGTAGGATGTTTAATGTGTTCCTGTATCTTACCATTAATGACGCTGGGGGACAACAGAGTGGAGTCGCGGTCACCAAGCCGACAGGCGCCCTCCTCTGAAGAACCAGGTGCTGGTTGCGGAGCCTGACCCTCCAAAGAGGTTACAATATCTGCACGATCGATGTTCTTCAGAGCAAAGTAGAGGCTCTCCACTGAGAGGCAAAGGTTCCACGATTTATCACTCAACTTTTCTTTTTAAATATCTGTCACATGCACAGATAAGGATGCCCCGACACAGAAATATTTGCACTAGTCAAAGTTTTAATCGTTTGGTCTGAATTTTAAAGGGATATAGTGCTAACTTACTCTTGGCCCTTTTGCCCTCTCTGCTGGCCCACAGGTTGAGCAGGGCAGAGCTCTGGTCCAGCAAGGAGTTTGGATTCTCCACACGGATCCTATTGATGTCGTCCACACCAAACTGAAGCTCTCGTGCTAACTCTAATGGACACAGTTAAGAATAGAAAGAAACATAAAGCACATATTTATACAACTAAGTCCAAAATACTACTGTATAACCACTCACAGATGAAGTGAATAATCTTAGTATAATGGCACATCTGCAGATTAGCGATATATTAGTAAAAGCTGTTGCTCGTTCTTAGTCACCAACTTGGATGGGAGACTTTGATAATGAGAAACTTGCTAAATCCAAATAATTGGGTTGGAGCATAACACAAAACAGCAAGATGTGGGCTCCTGCTGGTCATCGGTGGTGTGGTCTACGGGAAGGACAAACATAAGTAGGATCTCTGATCTGGACGAATAACAACTGGCAGGGGTTTCCTTAATATTCGGTTTAGTGGTCTACATCATAGACCAGATCTAAAAGATGTACCTAGCCAGGACTCATTAACCCACTGGTTAATAACTGTTCTTTTCTCAGTTGCCATCTTGATGTTTTCAAACAGTATGTGATAAGCGACTCTTTGATCCGTCTGAGAAACAGAGGAACTCTGTACACTAATACAGTAGTGATGTGTCTGTTACAACATAATCCTGCCCTTATACGTGTTTTTCCTAATTTTCTAAACTAACAGGAACCATTGACAGCCTCATATGGGATTCATATACATATAATAATAATAGATTGGATTTATGTAGCACTTTTCAAGGCACAAAAAGCGCTTTACAATGCCACTATTCATTCACTCTCGCATTCACACACTGGTATGAATATATATATATGTATATAGATATATATATATATAGGCATATAGGCATATAGTCATATAGAGGAGTTATAACAGCTGCTATAAGGTGTTAGTGCTGATCTGTTGTGGTCGGTTTCATCCAAACGTAGCTTTGTACATTACGGTCAAATGTCTCCATTTTGGTTTCTTTTGTCTAAAGGTCATTTATTCAAATGTAACTTTGCAAACCTGAGCCCGTTAGTGTTTTTCTAATTGTGTTATTATGAACTTTAACATTTAACAACTGCCAACTGAGGCCTGTAGAGTTTGAGATGGTGTTCTTGGTTTTTTTTTTTTTTTTGCAGTTTTTATAAGCATTGCATGGTCCAACTTTGTAGCTATTTTCCATTGAAGCAATCAGGGTGCATTTAGTTTTTCACAGTGTGGCTTTGAATTTCTTTTTCGAATGGCTATATATCCATTTTATATACAGATTGTAAAGTATCCAGTGTGACTAACCTGCCCAACTTAAACCCAGCTGTTCGGATATGATGTTGATTTTGAGCTCAGTCCTCTCCATGGCATTCACTGTGGCTAATGAGAAAAAAACACACAGACAGTTTAGAAACATGTAATACAGCACACAAGTTTAAAGATGTTTCAATGACCTAATAGTTATAGTACTGTTTTACACAAAAACGTATTTGGGAAGTCAAACAGATATTGATGTGTGGAAAAAAATATTTTTTTTAATTGGGATGAATTTTTTAGACTTTTTATGACTCTTTTAAGACTCTTTTTAGACTTGATAGTGTTGAAGCAAATGTTATCAAGAGGTGGCTAGTATTGACTCATTTTCTTCTTGTTATTCCAATTCATCATCTGTACCTAAAAGACAGTTAAGTTTCAATACGTACCTTGACAAAAGCACTGCTCTGTTGGAGGAAATAAGCAATACCAACAACAGTGGTTTTTTTACCCATATAATTCTCAGGGTTAGGACATCATTTGACAAGGGAAGGTCATAATTTGGGGTTCATTCAGGTGCTATTCCTGCTAACCACAGTAGCATTCAGTAACCATTAAATAGAGACTGAGGTGCAATATAGCAGCGCTGTGTATTTGATAGACAGAAAAGGCCTTTATCCATTCACCCTCACTCGCCATCAGCACCATTTAAACCAATCAGAATGGTCATCTTGACTCTCTTTAGTTACCACAGGCCAGTATAAGGGCTCATCTGTCTTGCTCCACTGCGAGGTCCTGCCCATTCTCAGTGCTAAGCTATAGTGCTAATGCTAACAGTATCTGCTGCCATGCCATTGGAAATCGCAGTGGAGACACCAGCGCCATGCAAAACCAACCACAGAAGTCATTCATTGATTGTCACAGCTACCAGGACACTCAGGACAGAAAAAGGCTAAATTGCCATGTGCCATGGAGCCATTTCAGGTCATGTTGGGGGCGACTGCTCATCTTGTGGCTGCACATTCAATATGTTTCCACTAACTGCACTGCAAAAAACTTAGTGGGATACTGTAGAGCAGTACATTGCATCCAAGGCTCAGTTGTTGTGCCATGCGTGCACACGAGACAGGAAAATAGAGAGGGCAGAGTAAGAAGCAGGGTTGTGGGTAAAGTGGCAGTGCAACATTCAGTGCCCATCTCCACTGTGTGTATATCCGGAGAGGGCTGACGGTCAAGCATTGAAGGACTTACCCATGCCGGGCTCGTTCAGTGCACTGTAGCGTTCTCTCAAAGCAAGAGGGGTTAAAGTTCGTCTGCGCTCCTCACTTCCAACAACCTAAAAAATTGAAAGAATTACAATAATTAATCGCCTAACACAGAACTTTTGAACTTTTAACAAACACCCATGTCACCATGTTTGACCCATGTAACATTAGACAGATGTTCAGTGCTAGGACCAATTCTGTTTACATTATACATGCTTCCCTTAGGCAGTATCATTAGAAGACATAGCATACATTTTCACTGCTATGCAGATGACACCCAGCTCTATCTGTCCATGAAGCCAGATAACACACACCAATTAGTTAAACTGCAGGAATGTCTTAAAGACATAAAGACCTGGATGGCCGCTAACTTTCTGCTTCTTAATTCAGATAAAACTGAGGTTATTGTACTCGGCCCTGAAAAGCTTAGAAATATGGTATCTAACCAGATTCTTACTCTGGATGGCATTACCTTGGCCTCCAGTAACGCTGTGAGGAACCTTGGAGTCATTTTTGACCAGGACATGTCCTTCAACGCACATATTAAACAAATATGTAAGACTGCTTTCTTCCATTTGCGCAACATCTCTAAAATTAGAAATATCCTGTCTCAGAGTGACGCTGAAAAACTAGTTCATGCATTTATTACTTCCAGGCTGGACTACTGTAATTCATTATTATCAGGATGTCCAAAAAACTCACTGAAAAGCCTTCAGCTAATCCAAAATGCTGCAGCAAGAGTCCTGACAGGGACTAGAAAGAGAGAGCATATTTCTCCTGTTTTGGCTTCCCTTCATTGGCTTCCTGTTAAATCCAGAATTGAATTCAAAATCCTGCTCCTCACATACAAGGTCTTAAATAATCAGGCCCCATCTTATCTTAATGACCTTGTAGTACCATATCACCCTATTAGAGCACTTCGCTCTCGCTCTGCAGGCCTACTTGTTGTTCCTAGAGTATTTAAAAGTAGAATGGGAGGCAGAGCCTTCAGTTTTCAGGCCCCTCTTCTGTGGAACCAGCTTCCAGTTTGGATTCAGGAGACAGACACTATCTCTACTTTCAAGATTAGGCTTAAAACTTTCCTTTTTGAAGTCACCTTTCTCACTCACTATGTATTAACAGACCTCTCTGCATTGAATCATATCTGTTATTAACCTCTGTCTCTCTTCCACAGCATGTCTTTTATCCTGTCTTCCTTCTCTCACCCCAACCGGTCGCAGCAGATGGCCGCCCCTCCCTGAGCCTGTTAAAAGGGAGTTTTTCCTTCCCACTGTTGCCAAAGTGCTTGCTCATAGGGGGTCATATGATTGTTGGGTTTTTCTCTGTATCTATGAAGCGCCTTGAGGTGACTTATGTTGTGATTTGGCGCTATATAAATAAAATTGAATTGAATTGAATTGAATTGAATGTAGTACTTCAGACAGACTCCTGGCAAAGTAATGGTTGATATTAAAATAGTAATCCAGGTAAAATGCAGTAGACTAGATTAAAACACTTTAAACCTTTAAAATAAGGAGTCTCCATACCTTTAAGGTAGCCTGTCAGTCCAAGAGTAAACCCTTTGTCAAAAGGATTAACTGATACTGTGTAATGTTATACTGCTTCAGTTGTATTATTGTACATTTATTTTTTTAATGGAATCTCTTTTTATCTATACAAAATTAATAAGCACAAATATTACATATAATACATAATAATACATGTAACACACACATATATTTTGGACAAGCCCCAGTCTGATAGAACAACCTGAAAAAAATGACCATCTATCGGGATAAGGTCACAGTGCGTGATCTTTCTTTTTATCATCTCTATTTATTATGTGTGCATGTTTGCTACCAAATCCTTACCTTGACACAAGGTGGCATGGTTATATTAAGGTTACACAGTACGTGTTGTGTGTCCTCATACTTGGTGCACTTCCGCAGAAAAGACAAAAACCCGGAGGCATCCTTGTTACTGTCTCTGACCTAAACATAGACAGAAAACAGGTAGACAGAGACGAAGAAAGAAAAATAGAATAGAAGAATGTGGAGTGAGGGAAAGGAGGAGAATGGAAAGACAGAAAAGGATGAGCAGAGAAGAGCGGGAAGGGAAATTGAGCAGAAAAGATAGAATAGAGGAAGATAAGATGGGCAAGAAGAAGAAAAAAAAATCAAAAAGAGTACTAGATCCCTTAACAGTTGTCCTGAGCATGTGGCGCAGTAACATGGGACGAGAAGCAGGGGGAAACAGGGATGGAAGCAGTCCACAGGCAGGCAAGAGGGAGAGATTTACCTGCACATTTTACCTGGACATCTGTCAGACCAGACAGTTACAGAGTGACCGTGAGAGAGAGAAAGAGAGACAGTGAGACAGACACATACAGACAGGCAAGGCCGCAAGATAGGAAGGCAGGCAAAGAAAGTGAAGGAGTCACAGGGCATGCAAACAATTACCCAAGAGAGTTGACAGCTAGACAGGTAAGTTGTTTGTTGCTTGGCTACCAGTATTCATCAAGCTGATTCTGAACAATACTTGACTTATCACATCGACAGACACAGATGAACGGAAAAACAGTGATATGGAAATTACATAAATATGGTCACGGGACAGGCATGGAACAGCTTGTACACACAATATATAACATATACGGTCAATAGAAGAACAAATACACAAGTCATCAATGTAATGTGGAATAAAAACAGATGAAATTATGATGCTTTTGATAAAGAACTTAAACACAAAACAAAAACACCCTATCAAATCAGATTGCTGGTTTTTATTACCTTTACATTTCAAACAAACAAAGCACAATGAAAATAAAAAAAGAACAAAAGGACTCACAATGACACACCATGCCAAAAGCTAACTGAAGAAACTGAGAATCCCGAGATCCGATGAACAACCTGACATTCCAATATTTCTAATGTTTATCTTAACTTTACTGCCTGGAATATCTCTCAACTCTATGAAAAAAGGTAGCATATTGCAATTATAGTGCACCAATTATACTGCTGTGTTTAATATGCAATGATTGCAGAGTGAGCACAGGACTGTACTATTACCTACGTGTTTACATCACTGATATGAGAGTGAAAAGCAAACACAAAAACCACCATATGAACGCAGTGTTTGAGTCATCGGCAGGTGCTCATGAGTGTAAATAACTGGTGAGAAGGTCCTTGACATACTGTATCCAAAAACTAAACAACACACACTTTTGCACATGTATACACACACACACACACACACACACACACACACAAACAAACACACAATACTGTAGCAACACGTAGCAAGTGATAAAGAAGCAGGCATATGAACAAGCAGCTAGGGACAGACCTTGACAGAGACGGGCAGTCTGTTATCTCGGAAGGCCTGGAAGCTGAAGCTACGAGGCTGCTGAGTGGCCTTCCGAATGGGCACCAAGTTCCCAGAACACTCCAGGTAGAGAGGCATCCCCTCCATTAGCTGTGGAAAATATAACATAAAAGGGAAAAATGGAATTGCTTTTTTTCTAATAACATTTTACAAGCACTCGTTTATAGGGAATTTATGCAGATTTCTCATGATACAATACGCTGTACCCAAAAAACCCAAACAAAAGAATGATCCATTGTCTTTCTAGGTGCAGCAAATGCAATCTATAACAAAAATGGCAAAAACAAGGGCAAGAAGCAGGTGTTGTGCCAAAAAGTGATTGTCTGCCAAAAACTGATTGCTCGTATTTAGACTGCTATAAGTAACTTGTTGGGCTATAATATGTGAAACATATGTCAAATGCATCCCTCATGGATGACCACAAACAACATTCGTGTAACAAGGTAGAAGCCGCAATCAGTTTTTGGCAGCGACTTTTATAGAACCTTTATTTATGCAGTTAAAAAAAATCTCATTAACATTAAAAATGTCTTTTGTAAGATTAAGTTGGACAGCAGAAATGGCAGCAAATATTACAATAGTTCTGTAAAAATATTTTAAGTGGGGATAAAGGACCGGATTGGTTATAATGTAAGTACAATAACACAGATTTATAAAGATACTTGAAAAAACAGATAATTTTTTAATTCTATATATAACCCCTCTGTAGTCTATTTACCAACATGCGTAAAGATATTATATTGAGAAAAGAATATATTGAGAAAAAGTTTGGCGCAGTGAGATGAGTACCTGCCTTGAGTACCAGAAGGGCCAGGTTCGTAAAGATATTACAAATTAAAAATACACGGAAACATTGGAGATCAGTTTTTGGCAGGCAATCACTTTTTGGAACAACACAGGTATACCCTGGACAGGTCACCGATCCATCTCAGGGCTAACACACAGAGACAGACACCCATACTTTAGGACAATTCAACATATTCATGTCTTCAGACCGTGGGAGGAAGAACATGCAAACTTTACACCAGGGGTCTCCATCCCCCGGTCTCCAGTCCCAAACCGGACCCCGAGAGGGTTTTCCCCCAGACCGCAAAGCATTTCCTCATTTACTATGTAGCTAGATATTTTATTCCTGCCGGCTGCCATGGCTGACTTTTGAATAGGCGTGATGGGTAGCTATGTGGATCAGTGACTTTCTAGTCCACACTCCAAGCCAGCTGGTGGCGGTATTGCACCACCAACCACCAAAAAAATGCCAAAGAAGAACAACCTATGCGGGCCCTTCAACACAGGTTGCTAAGTTACAGCTTGGGAGCTTGCACTTGCCGACAGTAGAATGATGACTTGGTGGTGCACAGTTGAATGAGTAAAAAAAGATGGCTTTATCAAAAGCATGTATAGTGGACTATCTGACATTTAAAGATGAATGGACAAAATTCGCTCACAGCTGACTAATGAACATTTGCATGCATGCTTAAGAACTGCATTGACCCCATTTCACCCAAATTTTAAAATGCTAGCTGCAAATGCACATGCAAATTTCTCTCACTGAAGTGAGCCAGCACTGTTTTGCAGTATGTTTTAAGTTACATGGTGTTGAGTTTGTCAAACATATTTACTGCACCGTTTTAAAGCACTTCTTAATTTTCCTGAAAATTGAGGGTTTTTTTAAGTGAATTATTTGCACCTTAATGTTGTCCCAAAAAGTTTATTCTGTTCATCTGGATGTAGTGTTTTCAGTCATCCAAGTGATTTTTTTAGTGTCAGCTGACTGCAGGTTTCCCCAACGTTACAAACAGTACCTTTGCACAATGACTAGCCCACTGAATGAACAATGGGCTGTGAGGTCAGTTTCTTAATCATTAAAATCCAAATTGTCATGACCATTGATTAACAACCACTGATCAAAGCCCATTGATCAAACCCCATTGATCAAAGACCATTGATCAATGGCCATGAGTATCATTCACAGAGAGTTGGGGAATGGCTGCAATCACAGCGTTGTAAGATAGCGAAAGATGTACCCTTAGGCCCCCTCATTGATTCAAAGGTGGTCTTTCCCTTTTCCCATTCTTCTTCAAAAGTCACTTGGATGAGTAATGAAATGTTTCTCCCACTGAAAACGGTTCGTCCAGATGAACAGAAACAACTTTTTTGATTTGGATTTACCTGGATGATTGAGCATGCATCAAGACACCTTAATGTTGGGTTATGTGCAATAGATGTGGTAAAGATTATTGCATGATTTTATTGTTAAATTGTTTTTTGTTTAATATTAGTACTTGAACGGGATTACACTTTTCGGTTCAGCAGATGATTTAATGGCATATGAATAATTGATCAGTAGTTACAAGGCAAAAGTCTATATTGTTAATTAAATGTTAAATAGAAATGAAAGAAAATATTTTTGTTGGGTCATTTAAAGTGTTCAGAACCCAGATTGATTGGAAGATGGAGGTAGTGAACCTCCTGTTATTTTAGTTAGGGACCCCTGCTTTACACAGTATGATTCAAACCCAGGACCTTCTTAGTCTGAGGAACCAGTGCTAACCACCACACCACGATGCCGCCACTTTTTAGAGAACTTAAAATGAATCACACGTTCAACTGCGCTCCTTAACAAGCTGGCTTTCTGTGGCCTTGCCCCTGTGCGCACCTCAATGTCTCGACTACGGGCCACCTCGGTGAAGTTTTCGTGTAGCTCCAGAGTTTTGTCCATCTTGTCATCTGTCATGCAGTAACAACGCAGGCGTCCCTCACGTGCCTCATTCATCTTTGCAAAAATAACAAACTTGGCCATATATGGGACTGCCATTAGCTCCCTGTACAGCAGGTTGGCAAAGGTGACCACCTCCGCCGTACGTGGACAGTCTGCCAGCCAGAATCTGGATATAGCAGGAGAACAGAGAAGAATTAAACAAACCAGCTGGATCTAAATCCAGACGTGTGCAAAGTGCAGGAAAAAAAGTTGACTGGGAACATGCTTGCACAGGTGTTTACTGAGCTCACCTTGCAGACACATTGGTGGTAAAATTGGCACAGTTGTTGGCGTACATCAGCTTGGTGGTTCCAGTGATGTCCTCCCACTGAGCTGGTGCTGTTCCACCTGGATTGATGTGCAAGTGTTGGAAAAACTGTCCCATTATGTTGTCTAAGTTGGACCTTCATCAGTTTTATTTCCTTTCTTTGTTAGGTCTCCCACCTATTATCGATTATCTAGTGACTGTCTTTTTGAATATATACATCCAGTATCCTGGCTTCTCCTTTTTGCATCATTTGTTTAGCGTCCCTTTTGTATGACTTCCAGGCAGTTTTGTTGGTCATTTTTTCACTACTCCCTGTAATGACTCCCACACACTGAAGTCCACACTATATGACATTGATCTGATAAACTTGAGAAATATTTCTAGTCTGCTGCATGAAAATTTAATTGTCTTACAATGATAAAAGCAACTGAATCAAGGCTAAGACAGACAGCTGTTGTTCCTCTGCTGTTTGTCTGCTTCCTGTGTCCTCCTTGGCTCAGCTTTAACAGATGGAGCACATAACTTACACAGAGACATGATTGGAATCTCAATCATTTTATTAATGTGCATGTTTATTTCCATCTGACAAGATTCTTTGCACGTAATTTTATGCTGCTTTTGCTTTTACTTGATTACCAGTTGAGTACTCAGAAATATCCTTTTATGTTGGTTGTCTTTCTCCAGAGACGGCTCAAACTCACATAATGTAAATACAGTTTAAGTCGAATTTAGACTGGTATGGTATTTTTTCGACTTTCCTCTTTTGCTGCCATGTTTGTTTTGAGAAGTGCATCTCCATGTATGACCCCTGCTTTGCATATTAAAACAGGAGATTACAGCCTTTTATATTGTGATGTTTGAGTCAGAAGTACACCCACGTGTCCACTGCCATCAATCAGTTTTGTTAGGGTCCATTTTAGTGAATTGGTGCTCTGATTTTCTTTGCCCCAGTATTTCAAATTTTCCCCTTCACCACCATAAAGAGTCATTTTAAGGTTACTCTAAAAAGTCAAATTGGTAAATAAAACTGCTTAACACAAAAAAATATATATAATCTGGTGGCAGATCATTTTGTTTGTACCCTAATGAGAAAGGTAATAATTCCTGCATACAATCCTAGGTATCTCATGTTTGTTACAAGAAAAAACAAAATATAAAAAGGGATTACTCTGTAAAGTTATTCCTACCAATGACACTGCAGAGAAGACGCAAGCTGGTGGTATCACCCTCGCCAGCATCACGAGGGCTCTCCCTCCACGACGGTGGTAAAGGAATCCGCAATCCGATTGGACGGTGAAATTTGCGTCGCCGAGGTTCGATGGTAACCACTGGGCTGAAGGTGGCCTGGTTACCAAGCTGCCTGGTCAGCAGTTCATCAGGGATTGGTTGTGCCTGATGTTAAAGTGTTAATGGCAAAAAAGGGACACTGAGGACATGACGAAAAGACAGGAGGACAAGGCTGCATACATGGAAAATGGAAAAGATAAACTCAAGCACAAATAAAACATAACAGAAACTCCGCAAGGATCAACAAACAATTAAAACAAAATGTTTAAAAAAAGGAAAACAAACCATAAACCATAAAAGCAAATGTGCAATAGGCTAAAACTTCAAATTCCCAATCATACTCACACATGCAACAAATTCATAAACTCAGATCAGTGCATCAGCTTGGTCACTGTGGCTCACAACTTAAATCGGGGAACTGAGGAGTGACGAATGGCTGGATAAAAAGGAAAACAGACGAGCGTAGGCAAAGCAAAACTCATGCAATCTTCTTACGTACATAACATTAGTGCCATGACAAAGAACGTAAACGATGTACACTCAAGTGACCAAGCAACAGAAATGAAGAAGCCATAATCCTTCATAATCTTTCTGCTGTGGAAAACAAAGCCAAATGTAGGTATAGTGTGAAAAGAGATCAGTCAGCATGAGTGTGTGCCAAGTTCCCAGACGGGTGTCTGCAGAGGTCTGGATGAGTAACAGCCAGTCATACATTTGCCAGAAGCTCCTGTTTGGCAGGGCAGACACCACGTGTTGCAAACACCAGAGATGCTTCTTAAAGGTCAGGCAAATTTTGAAAATGTTCTAATAAAGTATATAATTTTTCTATATTAACCTATTCTATCAATGAAATTCTTATTGACAGTGTTTAAAAACTGAGAAAATCTTCTTCCTATCGGTTTGATATCACTGTTTGTTACAGCTCTATTTTGTGAAGTAGATGTATTTTTTTACATTTTCATTGAATAAACTAAAGCAAATTTATCACAATGAAGTGCAAGGCAAGAGAAATTTACTTTAAAAAATGTACATGAATTACAGTAATACCAATAATAACTGATGCTACATCACAAAACACTGAATGAAATATAGATTTACTATTTGATGGGATATCTCAAATGACAAATGATGACCTTTCTTCTAGCATTAAGGTTTATAGTACTGAAATAAATCAGTCTGCCTCTTCACGACTCGCATCAGGTCTCTATGACTGATAGCAAAACTCAAGCATTTTCAGACTCATTGGTCAAACAGACATAACATCAACTTCATGGCATGAAATCTGTCAAATCTGAACTCGTACACTGAAAGCAGCACAAACAGAAAATGAGGCCAGAGGTAAACATGTTGGCACAGTCTTGGTTGTTTTCTCATTCGAACATCTGTTTTTGTGTTGAACAATCAAGCAATTATGAAAAGTGTACATGTGTAAAGCCTCTTTTCAATTCATATTCTCACCTGCAGTCCCAGCCTCACTCTCTTGGTGACAGCAGTCTCAGGGAAGATGGCTTCAACTTGGGGGACCAGCTTACTGGTCAGCCGACCGCCCTCTGGACCAATGAGATCACTCTCCTGCTGTATGCGAGACACTACTGCAAAGTAGAGGGGGAAGTCAGTGGAGATCATTCGACGGATTCTCTTCTTCTCCAGCTCCTCTTGGCTCTCCAAGTCTATATTAAGGTGAAATAGTGGAGATAAGCAGAGAAAAGAGATAAAGAGGAAAGAAAAAGAGGGTAATGGTAGGTGTTAGGATACATGTCTAGCTGAAAATTTCAGTCTTAAATGAACACTTTGTGGGAATAAAGCCTGTGTGATGCTGCGGAGGCAGCTTCTGTGTGTAAAAAAACCTTCCTATGCTTGTCTTCTGTAACTCCAGGGACATACATCAAGATTAAAACAACCCCTCAAGGTTTCCCTGACAGGTGACATCCATTTCAATCCCACTAACCTTCATCCATGCCATTCAGAATAGTTTCCAGTACTTCGTCGCCATAGCGATTGCGATGTTCCTTCCAGACCGAGCCGTTCTCACTGCGGAGCACCACAAGCTCTCTGTCTCCTCGTCCCAGTGAGGCAAAGTGAGGGATTTCTACTATCACTGGTCTGTGAATGAAATGTCAGAAAGGTTTTTAGAAAAAGGTAGGAGAGGTGCGTGTTTTATCTTCTTTTTCTTCGTCTTTTAATGACAATCTATAGGTTTTGGGGAACAGAGAAGACTAAATGCTGTAGTTTTGAAAGTCAAATGCATTTCCCTACTTGCCTGGTTTGGTACTCATCAGACTGAGGTCTGCTCTGCGGTATTATTTTATTTCACAGTGGGCCAAAACATTCTAATTGATGACTCTGAACTACAGGCCAGCTGGTTCAGAGCCCAGACTAACATTAACAGTACAAGTTATCAATGCCATTTGCACTAATACACAGCCTTTTGAAGTGCATGTTCACAGCTTAGAAGATGCAACATGTGTGACTTCTAAAAAACCTCTGCCACTTGATTGGTCAGACCTGGTCCTCTTTAAATGAGCTGATGCCCAGAGACGACATGTTTATGAATGCTTTTTATGTTTCTCCTTGCATGGTTAGAATTTTAATATTGTACAATAAAAATGACCAGGGCTCACGCACAATGGTTTTCAGAAATGCTTGATACATCATCCCAGCATGACTCTGGACCTTTCAGCATTGGTTTTCAACCTAGTCCTTTGTGTACAATACTTTCTGAAGATTTTTAAAAATATTTTTAAGATAATTTGTACCGTAGATGATCCCCATATTCTCTGTAATTTTACACTGTGATAGGTTAGTTTTAAACTGCTTAAATGACTATTTTCCTATAAATACCCCATCATGATCTAGTCTTGTCCATTAAATGGCACAATCACTGAACTTGTCTTGGACATGTCATGTCTATTAAGAGCCACGCAAATACATGCACATATAGGCACTCAAATACACGCAAAAGTATTTTGCTTTGACTGTAAATGCACAGTCAAATACGGTCAAATACAGTTAATAAACCAAAGAAAGGTCTGATTTACCCAAGGAACTGCATACTGGACGGCCCCAGGGAGATGATCCGGCTAGCGAGGCCCTCGCCCTCCACTAGTGGAGGAGGCGTGGTCAGTTTCTGGGGTTTAACGAGACGGCAAGTGATGCGCGTCGGTGCAGCGCAGGTTCGGGGAGGGATGATCACTCGTAGTCCATGGTGCCTGCTGCCTCGCATGGAGCCCCCTCGAGCATCCACCATGAAACTCACCAGGAAGCTGAGTTAAATGGTGCCATAAATTAAGAACATGTAAACTTTACTTTATCAAAACACATTTAAACATTAATAAAACACGACAGAAAGAAAAAAAACACAAAGACTGGACTTTCGTCAGGGAAATCCTCCAGCTCTACGAGATGGGAACAGATTATTCATGTGCTGTTTGTTCAGCAGTGTTTTGAATTGATCTGGTTTGCCCGCTCATGGTTTATGCTATTCATAAAGAAGACATCAATTGACTGTGTAGGCGCTCTTTTCATTTGCTTGTCTGGATATGACAGGAGAAAACGAATGATCTGCAACAATGCTCAGCAAGAATGATGTGAAAAGATTTGAAAGAGATCCCGATTCTGCTTCTCCTGCATTATACCAACCCGTTCTCACTCCCAAAGCGTAACATTTTATGCTAGGTGACAAATCGTCACCATATTACGTTTTCGGCTACCCACCATGTTCCTAAATGACGACCTCGGAAAAAGAGGAAATATGAGAACCGTCTGGACTGAACCTACACATGTTCGCTCTTTTTCTTCAAATCGCTTAGAAACACGCTATTTAACATCATTAAAGTCCTGGTTAAGGCCAGGAATAAGGTTATGGTCAGGGCTAGGGATAAGGTTAGGTTTAGGGCTGGAATACAGGGCTGGAACGTCTACTACCGCGGGAGCGTCATTGCACTGGATTCCAGCCATAACCCGCTGCGTACCATAAGAACGCCGAAGGTCTCCTTTCGCGTTCCTCAGGAACGCCGCGGGACGTGACAAAACGTCTACATGTTACGCCTCGGGAGTGAGAACGCTCTGATTATACCGGTGGCTTAATACAGGTGTCTCTATGTGTGAGGTCATCTTTTCACACTCACTATTTCAAAAGCTGACTCATGGAGGTACAGATACAGTAAATTATGACTTTGCATAATTGATAAATTAAAGTGTTTATTGCTGGAATACAGTTCCTTTAAATATAAGATATCTGTAAATTTGGATTGTGATCATCGTGATCATCACTGATAATCATTACAACCACCATTTATCTTTTGGTATCATATCTCTATGCAATAACATTAAAACATAAATGGACTGCATTTACCTAGGCCCTTTTTCGTAGCAGTTTACAGAGCACTTTAGATTGTATATAAGTAAAGGATGCTATTGTCACATAAACTATCACCTCAGTAGATGAATTAATGGAATCAGTTGCCAGTTTTAAATGTTAATGACATTAGAGTTTAAACAATTTTGTTAATTATAATCAGGTTAAGAGAAAAATAGATGATAAATATAATATGCTTTTGACTATCATCATAGGCTTTTAACAAGTCTGCACTATCTGCACTTATTTTTTCTATTTACTTTTTTGTAAAGCCAGAAATTTCACAGTCTGCCAAAACACTATAATAAGAATCCTGACAAGAAGCATCGACGACTGATACTGTTTAACATAAAAGCAATTTTAAAAATTTGGTTTAACGGGGAAGAAAAACATTTTAATAACTCACCCAGTGTGAATAGGGCTGGCTACAGGGCTGACATTGTCTGAAGTCTCAGTAGCTGGACTGCTTGGGATAAGAGAATCTTCATCATATTCTTTTGGCAAGGGGACGGGGGTGTGCTGAGGTCAGAGAGGGAGAAATGAAAATGGAAAACGGTGAGAAATTGAGGCCGTAAAACAGCTATGACTGAGAAGATTAAACCAGAGAAAAGTAGGAGGGAAAGACTGAGATAAAAAGAGAAAGAGGTGATATAAAACATGAAGCAGAGAGAAGACCATAATAAAGGAAGAGGTATGAATAAAAGTCAGAATCTGGTTCAATAATATAAGTTAGTGATATTTCTATTTGAATATCTGTCTTCTATAGCCTCTTTTTTGCACCTTAAAAACTTCATTCTGCACAAGAAAGTGATTGTCAAGCAATGTTAACTTAAATTAAGTGTCCCTTTAGGAGTACATACAAGTATGTAACAACTACGTAACAAATCAATGGCTTCCTATTCATAGAGGAAGCTTAGTTTATATACTTATCAGATCCAACTAATCCCAAATAGCTAGAAGAAATTAGAAAAGTATTCAAATGGGAGCTCAGGTCTCAGGAGGATAAGATAAAGTAACAAATGCTTACAAAGCCACTCTTAGTCACGAGCTAAGCATACCTGATCCAGCATAACTGTCTCTGGTGACACACAGGGGATCCTGGGAATAGCAGGAGAATATGGACTGTCGAAGAGGAGGTAGGAATAAGGTAAGACAAGAAACCATCGCTGAATATGACACCGCTATCAAAATTCTAATAAAATCATATGAGCTCACTCTGCTGCTTCTCATAATCTAAGGTAAGGATAAATGAGCTATGTCAGTAATTTAATCGCCAGCTCAAATTTCATTTTCAATTATATCATATTAGGCATTCTTCACATAAAGACTCCTCGTCACACCTCACACTGACTTACGTGGTGCCCATGCCGCCCTCAAAGTCTCTGAGGGTCTTCTTTGGGGAGAGAAAGTCATCATCCTGGTCCTTAAAATCATCAAGCTTCAAATAGCGAGCTCCGTCCATCCCCAGCAACTCGTCTCCTGTGGTAAAAATGTAAAAGAAATGTTTAGAAAGAACATGGAAAATGAACACAGAGAAAAATAAGTGGTAAGGAACAGGTTGCAAGGAGCACATAAGGAAGTAAGAGAGAAAAGGATGACACCAGGGGGATACGGAGTAAACTTTAAATTAAGGACAAGTTCTCCCAATAAATGTCAGTTTATCTCAATACATTTCAAGTTGTTTCAAAATGTATTTTATGAGAAATGCTCTCAAAACCTTGAACTCTCTTCAAATTCGAGTAAAATCAATTTTGATATAATCCCCAGATGAAATCTGTAATTACTACTCCACCATCCTTCCCATCCCTTCACCAAACCACAGAAAAAATGGCCACAAAGCAGTTCCAAACATTTTAGTCCAAGCAATGGAGTCAAACCAACAACAACCAGAGCCGATGGAAACCAAAGTAGTGAAAGAAGAGGATTGGTAAGACAGTGAATATCAACACAGTTTAGGACACTGCATGGACAGCAAACTGCAAGGCACCTGGTGACAGCTTTTTTAGTGAGCATGCCCATTAAAGATGAAATCACATGTGGTGATGGTTGTTTCTGTGTAGGAGAAAACACCTTAATTATTAAATAGGAATGATACTAAAATAATAATTATAACAACAACTATAAACCGCTTCACAAGACAGACAGTTTAGCACCCATTCGTATAAGCTGTTCAGGAAAACAAAGCAAAAAAATGTTAAAGAAGTAAAAAGTGAGAAAATTAAACAAGTATAAAAACAAGAAAACACATTGCAAAAGGAAAAAATGCTTCCAAAACGTGTTGAAAAGATTCGAATTTGGTTTATTTTTTCTAAATTTTTAAGGCAGGCCGATGACTGTATAAACTGGAGCTGTTTGCTGGAAAGTGTCACAGCTTTGCCACAGTATGTGTTTTATCCGTTTATGGATCAATTACACTGTAAAAATCAGGAGGAACAGCAACGCTGCACTGCAAGGGAGCCATTTAAATTTAAATACAGAAATTTTGGAGTTCTGTCAATGATAGATCCATGACCAGATATGTGCTGGTAAAAGGAAAATGTTGTGACTACATGCTGATGACAAACAGACTTTTTAAAGAAAAAGCAAATCTCTGAACAAGAGGGAGAACAGGAGAGATCAAAGATAAGACAGAGAAAATAGAGGATAACAAACAGGGCTGGAGTCGAAAGTAGAACTGATTAGAAAGACATTTCGTGACACACAGAGAAAATGAGAAAGTGCAACTGCAATGAAGGCACAAGTTTACGAGTCACCGGACCGGACAAGGCAGAGATACAGACACAGTCCTACCTAACGTTAGCTGGGCAACCCCTACAAGACAAATGGAAAAGGGTGTTATAAACAGTCGCACATATACAGTCAAATTCATGCTGGTACTTCGACATGTCAGTGTACTTCCCATGCGCTCGTCTTCTACCAAAATCAGAGCTGAAAGTTAATTATCAAAGCTGCACAGTTGATGCTTTTAACATAATCAAATAAGACAGCCTACCTTCATCCTCTGAAACATCCAAAATCTCATCTACAGTTTCGGGGAAACTCATCCGATGCTTCTCTGTCGTGATCTGTGGAGAACCAGGGTGGGAATTAATTTGCAAGCAGTGAGGGAGCTGAATGTAATTAGGAAAACAGAGTTTGTTCAGTGAACATCTGATCATGGTGGGTCAACGTTTCTTCTTCATGTACTGGTGTAACTAGGTGAACCATGCTCACCGCAGAAACAGACTCCTCGGTTACCAGCTTGAGCACATCGATCACAGAGATGTAACCCAGCCTCTTAGCAATGCCCAGGGGAGACGTGCCGTTCTACACGGAGACAGATAATTAAAATTATTAAAATCATTTCCACAGATTTTAAGAACTTTATTCTTTCCTGTAGAAAACATATACTCTTGGGAAAAAGAAGTATTTTAGTGTCCTGTGAAAAACAAAAGTAGAAGATCTCAAAGCATTCAGGTGTTTGTAGACAAAATACCACAATCTTGCCAGGAGTCAACATCCCAACAGATTCTCTACAATTCTCAGAAAGTGCAAAAAACCCAAGAGCTACAGCTCTGATTCTACAGGTCTCTGCTAGCATGTTGACTATTAAAATCAACTTCAACAAGTATGGTTTATTTGAGGGGGTTTCCGGGAAGAAGCCTCTTCTCCTTCAAAAGAACAGGACAGTATGGCTGAAGTTTGCCAAGTTGCATCTGAAGAAACCACAAGAGGTTTTTGGACAAACAAGGCCAAAGAGGAGATGTTTGGCCATACTGCTCAGCACCATGTTTGGCAAAAACAAATACCTCATGTCAACTGCCAAGCATGCTGGTACTGGACGGGTGATGATTTGGGTTTGTTTTGCAGCTTGGGCGCCTTGTATTCATTGAGTTCACCATGAAATCTGTCACATTTGAGGCCATCTGTCCAAGAGCTAAAGGTTGGCTGGTATACAACAGCATGGCCCCAAAAGAAAGGAATCAAGGTGTCACAGTGTCAAAGTGCAGACCTCAGCCTGACTGTAATGCTGTGATGGGACCATAAGAGATCTGTATATAAACGAAGGCCTGCAAACCTCCATAAACCAATGCAATGTTGTAAATTATAAAGTCATACAGCAAATCATTATTTCAAGTTGTTGCAGCTAAAGGTTGTTTTACAAGCTACAAGGTATACTTAGTTTATCATGACTGCATGGAGTCCTGTAAGAAATATAGTTTTTAGAATTACGGTACACATCTACAACATAAATAAAAAAATATGAAAAATGAAGGCAAAAGGTGAACTGATATATCCTACAGGCTGCAACAAACATATACTGGACAGTATCCACCATAGTTATACACATGTCCAAACTTCTAATATATCAAAACTAGTGAATGGAAAGACAAAAAAAAGCTATTAAATTTTGCGGTTTAATTACTAGGTCTTAAACTGCATCTTTCAGGCCTTTCATAAATTGTGCCTGTCAAAATCTTAATTTAAAATCTAACTAGCCAATTAGGGCTGTCAGGTGTATGTAGTGATGTAAAAAGAATCTCTGAACAAAGTATCAAAAATTAAAAATACTGATGTAAAATAAATGGATAGACAAAATAGGATGCAACATCAATTTTAGTTGGGGAACTCTAGCTCCAGAGTACACACTGAAAAAAAAAGCAACGTAGTCACAGCAACTAAAATAATAGTCCTGACAGTGAACACACATACATTGTGCATGTGGAAAAACGTTTACAGAGAAATATTTAACAGGATAGGAATGTTTATCAGTCAAGAGAGTGATGATGATGATGATGACCTGTGATCTGAATCTAATCTAGTGCTAACTATTCTACTGAAGGCAATTTCTTTATTTGTTATCACATGTTTGTTCTTTCAGAAAAACTGCTGCACAAGGAAGGGTTTAGTAAAAGTTTCTCACCGAGGTGATCTCATTGGGTTGGGCTCCATGTTTCAGCAAGAGTGTGACAATATCTGTGTGGCCCTGCTGGGCTGCCTGGTGCAGAGGGGTGTAGCCCATCTGCAGCAAAAAAGAAAGCGATAAAAAAGTTTTGACGGACAAAAGAAGAAACTAAATATGATAAATATACAAAAGGGGGTGCTGACAAGGAATTTTACCCTTGTCTTGGCGTTCACATGAGCTTGCTGCTGCAGAAGGAACTTCACCATCTTGATGTTGCCATAATGACAGGCCACGTGAAGGGGTGTGTAGCCCATCTGAGCCAAAGAGAGAAAGACAGCAAGCTGTTGTTTAGTTGCTTTAGTGATACCCATTAATTGTCAGTCTAAATATCGGGCAAATATGTGCTTAGTTATTTGGCACACAAGACTGTATAAAGACAAAAGATGCCATCTCTTCAGTTCATCACACACACATGGTATTTTATGACTATGTGTATTCAGTGGAATTGATGTAGCTTACACGTGAAGCAGCATAAACAGATGCCCCCTGTTTGACCAAAGTGTCTGCGATGCCCACATGACCCTCCTGGGCCACAAGATGCAGAGGGGTCAGTCCATTCTACAAAGAACGACCAGAGGAATGAGCATCATAGTTTATCTATTGTTTGGACAGTATATTAATCTAATAATATTTTAAAAAAGCACATATAAAACTACAGAAATTAAACTTTACTCTTTAGAACATGATCAATTTGCTCCATTCTAATATTATACCTTGTTTCCAAGATTTACGTTGGCCTGTTTGGAAATGAGCAGAGCCACCATGTCAGGCCGTCCCTCCTGTGAAGCCAGGTGTAGGGGCGTGATGCCTTGGAGGGACTCAGAATTGGGCGATGCCCCATTCTGAAGAAGACAGCTGGCCACCTCCATCTGGTTCTGCTTGGCTGCTATGTGAAGGGGAGTGTATCCATTCTGCAGAAAGAAACAAGGACAAACAGAAATAAAAAAGTGGAGATTGCTATTCTTCCAGCATAAAACTTAAACGCTGCTGTGAGAGAGCACTTGCCAGTACAAAGTTTGCTATGCAAGTCAATGTATGCTTGAGAATCACTCTAATTTAGCCTGTTTTGTATGATTGTCAGTCATGGATTGGCAGGTTATGCTGGCCTGCCTCTAATGCGCACACACATATGTGTGAACATCTTACTCGGGCAGTGCTGTGTGCAGATCCTCCCTTGCTGACCAGGAGTCTAACAACATCCAGGTTGTTGTGATGGACGGCCACATGAAGGGGTGTCAGACCATTCTGTTAACCACAAACACACACACACACACACACACATACGCATGAACATATATATAACCCACAGATGCACACACATATGCAAAAAAAACACACAGAAACATGTATATATGAAACACATACCATGGTAATCAATCAATTAGCTGAAAGTAAAATTATCTCGGGGTGGGGTCAAACTTGCAGAATGAACTGCTCCTCACTGCCTGTCAACAAAAGTACAGACTGGCTCACCTTCCCAGCTGCATTTGGGTTTGCTCCTCTTTCCAGAAGGAGTTCAGCCACATCTACCTTTCCATATTTGGAGGCCACGTGGAGGGGAGTGAAACCTTTCTACTCAAATGAAGAAGAAGAAGAAAAGACTAAGATGTTTGTCAAAGATTCAGTTGCATCTGTACACCACAATGTTTCTGAATATGGGGTTTACTATATGTAACTATTTGTGGTTATCTGTGCTTATATTTAGCTGATAAAATTATTTTAATTTAGCATAAGACAGAACAGAATCTAAAAGCTCAAATAACCTCAACGGTCATCTTTTGCCAGAAGCGGTTCAGTTAGCAATAAAATGCGGTCTGCACTAACTGAGCATTTAATCTTAATTCTGATTTTACCTTTGTCATCTTTATTTGCTCCGCTCCAGCATCCAATAATATTCGAATAGTCTGGACATGTCCTTCACGTGCTGCAATGTGTAAAGGTGTGTGACCTGCAGTTGTAGCTGAGTCAGGGCTGGCCTTGTGCTCAAGGAGCAGCTTGACAAGCTCCTTGTGGCCCATACGGGCTGCACAGTGTAAAGGTGTCTGGTCATCCTGGACACAGAGGACAATGAGTTTAGTTCAAGTTAGAAAACAGATACAGCTGAGCATCGGGAAATTAAACATCATGCCTAATAAAACCTGCCACTGTGTACATGAAACAGCCTTTATGCATTGTTTGTGACAACTTAAAACGATCAGTGATTGACTGATAATTGTTGCACGATCATTTGTAAGTTTGTTTTGGGTGCTGAATAAGGTACTATTACTAGTAATAATAATAATAATGATTTTATTTATAAAGCGCTTTCAAACAAAGTGCTGTACAGCTATTTGAAACTGAAAAGATAAATAAATAAAAGCGATACACAGCAATAATAATAATAATAAGTTAAAACAGTAAGAATTTAAAAACGAAAAGCCGTAGAATTAAGACATGTAAGATAGGGTGAACAAATGTGTCTTCAGCTTAGTTTTTAAAACCTCCACAGAGCATGCCTGCCTAATATCTCGAGGGAGGTTGTTCCACAGAAACGGGGCACGGAAAGAAAAAGCACGCTCTCCAATTGTCTTTTTTCTGGCTCTAGGAACCTTTAGAAGGCCAGAGTCCTGAGTCCTGAGCACGGGATGGGACATAAAGGTGTAAAAGGTCGGAGATGTATAAAGGTGCCAATCCGTTTAAAGCCTTGTAGGTAAGCAGCAGGACCTTAAAATCTGCTCGAACCTGACAAGGTAGCCAATGAAGAGATCTCAGTACAGGGCTAATGTGCTCAACTTTCCCAGTTCTTGTTAAAATGCGAGCAGCTGCATTTTGCACCATCTGTAGACCTCTAAAACTTTTCTTTGGTAGCCCAGAAAGAAGAGCATTACAATAATCAATACGTGAAGACACAAATGCATGGACAAGAACCTCTGCAGTGTCGCTTGACAAAACTTGTCTGATTCTGGCTATGTTCCTCAAATGATAAAAGGCGGTCTTTGCACCCAGAGGAGCTTGTAGAAATATTTGTTTTGTGTTTTGTTGTTTTGTTTTGTTTTTTTAGTGGCATGGACAGGCTGACCCTCCGTGTTCTGCTTGGAAGTATTGGTAGTACTACTAGTACTACTACTCAGCTCATACCTTAGCCTTGGCATCCACTTGTGCTGCGTTCTGGAGCAGGAACTGAGCAACTTCACAGTGTCCTGCTCTGGAGGCCATATGAAGAGGAGTCTCCACTTTCTGATGTAGATAAATACAGGTAGTTACTCAAATGACAAAATAGCACCCCAAATGTGTATATAAGGGTCCATATGTATACTGACATTTGCAGTTCATCCATCTGTAACAACCTACAATGAAAAGTTTCTATATTTATTTATTTTGAGTTTTAAAACTTTCTGATAAAGTTCAAACACACATATTTTTTAAAATTTAGAGTAAATCTTGTTTTAATCCTCTATCGTAGTATTAAAGGCCATGGTTCAGATTGGCCTTTTAATTTCAGTAATCCAGTAGTTAATTATTATTTAATATGCATTCCACAAAACAGATCTCCAAAGGAGTGACTTTATTCCCCTTTCAGTCAGATTCAATTTGTTCTGTTCTGGGATGAGAAAAGCAGTGCTCACCACATTGGAAGCATTGGGTGAAGCCCCTCTTTGGAGCAGGTTTTTCACTATGTTCAGATGCCCCATGAAAGCTGCTACATGAAGAGGAGTGAGACCAGACTGTGAACAAAAAACAGACAAGAAAAGCACATCAAAACTCATGCATTATAAATAGGCTAAATTACATTTAACCTCATTAGCCACGTCTGTCTGGCCTATGTGGATTACTATCAATGATGTTGGCAGCGATTTAGAGAGCTGTGATTAGCTCTGTCAAGTACCATACAACTGTCAGGGTGAGGGCTTGCACATCGGGATAAGGATTTGTTAATTTTTAGACCCTTTTCCTCGTGGTCACACCATCCTACCTCTGTGACAGCCTCTAAGGAAGCAGAGTGCTTAAGCAGCAGGTCCATAGACCGCATGTGGTTCTTCTTGCAAGCAATATGCAAAGGTGTGAAGCCATTCTGCAAACATAAAAAAATAGTAAAAAAACAGCTCAGAAATAAATCACAGTGCTGAAGATTTTTGACTTTTCAGTTTAAAAATGGGTTGTACATTTTCAACTCAAAATTACAGAAAACGTTATTTTTAAAGGACTTAATATAAAGATTTTTTTTTTTACTAATTTAGAAGTTCGCTGAACTGAACACAACTATAACTCATTTAAGGGCAGAAGACAAAGCAATGTGAGCTGAGTTTATGCCAACTTTGAGAAATGGAGAATATCAAATTACTGCTACAGTTAGTTCCTCATTAACACAAGATCCTAGAATGTATGAATGCCATAGAGATCACATTCATTGCCTAAAACTTTCCACAGTAACTTAATAGAAATTATCTCAAAAGAAAACGGTTACTCACCAGAGCCCGTGCATTGGCTTTGGCCCCCTTGTCCAGGAGAACTTTGGCCATGCGATGGTGACCGCAGTGGGCTGCTACATGAAGAGGAGTTAAATGGTCGAGTGTGATATCATCAATCTCAGCATTGTACTGGAGTAGCTGCCTGACACAGTCCATGTGATCCCCCTGAGCTGCCATGTGGATGGGGGATAGACCGTTCTGTAGGAAAGAACAATACGATAGGGACTCCAGTGATCAACTGTAGGCCATATGGAGGCAGAGCAGGTTGGAGAGTTGACACTGACTGAGTCATCATGGGATTTTCTCAGTAGCTAAATGTGGAAAAGACCCCACATTAATGAAACATGCAGCCATGGTGATTGCTTCTCCTTCTGTCAGGAATCTCACCCTATTTGTAGTATGCTCATCTGTCACACCAAACTTCTCCTTCACTTCATCCATGAACTTCCTCTGGAGTGTTCCTCTTGTCATCCTGTCTGGCAGCTCTATATTTAACCTATGTCCAACATTGTCCAATATATCCACTATACCTCCTCTTCACATGCCCAAATCACCTCAGGCTTGCCTCTCTAACTGTGTCTCCAAACTGTTGAACCTGAGCTGTCACTCTAATAGACAAACTTTTGTTATGGACAATGAAAATCTAAGCATCTTCAACTCTGCCGCCTCCGTATCTGCCTCCAGTCTTTTTGTCACTTACCCTTTTCTCCAAACAAACATCATGGCTGGTCTCACAACTTTAAAACCGTCCCTTTCACTCTTGCTGCTATTCTTCTGTCCACCCTGTTTGCACTCTGTTCTTCACATCTCTTGTTCACTGTCTGTTACTTTGGATGGTTTGGATGGACTCCAGGTATTAGAACTCATCTAACTTCACCATCTCTGGTTCTTGCAGCTTGTAGTTCGTCTTGCTTCTAACGACTTTCAGTCCTCTTTTCCACAGAGCATACCTCCATAGATCAGCCATAGTGCAATATTTCACAAAATCCACCTACCTTGGTTTTAGCCTGGATGGGAGCACCGTGTTCTAGCAGGATCTCAATAATGCGAACATGACCATTCCTAGCTGCACAGTGGAGAGGAGTCAGTTCATCCTACAAAGAGAGAAGTGAAGCAAATTAGACAAGAAATAAACACCATGAAGTGCAGACTAACAAACTCCAAAATCAGGCTGGGAAATGTAGAAGATGTTAAATTGCAGCTTAGTACCTTAGTTTTGGCATCAATCTGTGCTCCTCTGTCCAGCAATAGTCTGACCATCATTACGTTGCCCCTCCTAGAGGCTATATGAAGGGGTGTGATGCCATTCTAAACAATCAAAGTCAATAAATCAAGTCAATTTTATGCTTATAGTATAATTTATATCCCAGCTATATTTATATTAAAAGCTTCTGCATGTAGATATATATGTAGAAAAGCAAATCGTTATGTTTTATAATATTAAACTGACCTTGGGGGTAAAGTTTACATTCGCTCCTCTGTTCAGCAGCAGCTGGGCTACACTCATATTTTCATAGTGAGCTGCAATATGCAGAGGTGTGAAACCAGTCTAAAGAGAAAGAGAGAGACAGACACACAATGGGCATTAGCAAGCAACAGTTTAAAAATATTTACTAAATAAGGACAATGTGAAAGGTTTACAGATAAAAGAAGGAAGGAGATTACAGAATTTTCCTTAAATGTGTATAATTAATTGAAAGAACTTCCTTATCAGCTGCATTTTTGTGCTCATGCAACATCTTTTCTTTTTGACTGACTTATTGACAGTTTAGTTTACCCATACTCAGTGAATGCATACCTTGCTAAGAACATCGGGGTTGGGGTCATTCTGCAGGAGAACTGCAGCAGTGCGCGTGTCATCGTTTCTTGCAGCAATGTGCAGGGCAGGGAGGCGGACCTTGCCCTTGGTGCCATAGTTGATGAGCAGTGCCACTACGTTTTCGTGGCCCTGCTGTAGGGCCACTGCAAGGGGAGTGAAGCCATCCTGAGGGAGGGGACAATGAGCAGAAGAGAAACAGAGAGGAGAGAAGACGAAGAGGAGGTTAATTAAAGGACGAACCACTTTTTTGTCACTAAAAATAGACTGCAACTATTTTTTTTGTAGGACTCTTACAATGAAAACTGTGCAACACACCGATTCAAGTATGTACATTGATAGGTGACAGAAAAGGTAGGCCAAAACAAAATGGAATGAGAGCAGGCATAATAAAGGGAGATGTTAGATGTTAGCATGTTAGAGACAATGTGATTTCACATTGTTTGAGCAGTTCCAGAATTAGATGTTATATCCTCTTGCCCGACAATTTCTGTTTGTTCTATCAATTAAAAACACTAAATATGTTCCTGTTTATTTTCTATTGTTAATTGTATTTACATGATCCTGCAATGTTTGTTGACAATTAAAGTTTTGTTGTTGTTAATTAAGGAAATTTCCATTTGGTAAACCTTCTCGCATTGGCACAATTGTTGACTACTTTACACATCCTACAGTTTCTTATAGTAAAGACCCATCATCAGTGTGGTTTGTCAGGAAACACCCAACAATAAAAAGGCTGTTGAAAGACACATACCTCAGTTGGGAGACTTTGATTGGCACCATTTTCAAGCAGAAATTTGACCACTTCTAAATGGTTCTCCTGTGCTGCCATGTAGAGAGGACTGAACCCTTTCTGTTGGGACATAAATACATTTTGTAGAAAAAACACACAAGACATGGGCATCCACCTATACTACAAGTGGTGATGTCAGAAAACAAACACACATATGCATACACATGTATACTACTATGCAAAAGTTAGAGCAGTTATGAACAACACTCCAAAGGTAAAGCCTGAGTCATGAAGAACTATTTTCAAAGCACCCATATTTTCATAGAGGCCTAATCCAAACATTATGCAGTTAGCCTTAGATTACATGAATGGACAGAGGACACTGATACAGTTAAAGTTTGGTAACTTGTCCAAAATGCCCCAAACAATCCTGCCTATTAATTATTAACTGCATCCAGCAGAATTGGTTCTGTCTTTAAAGCAAAGAGGCGTCAGAAAATTTTGTACTGCACTTTTTTAAAAGGTTAATGATGAATAAAAATTGCAAAAATAAAAAATTGTATCAGTTTTTAAAAGCATCCTACCTTTACCTTTATGGGTAAAGTACTGGATACAAAACAGGTGCTTATCTTTCCGAGGACACAGACGCACACATGTTTATGAGTACAGATACTATATATAAATATGCAGAGAAATGATTTATCAGCTGCTGTGACACATATTCAACAGGAACAAAACACGCACAAATGCACATACACACTCGACACACTTGGCTCATACGTTCAACCCTTCTACACAGCTTGGGGCGACTCACATGTGACTGGGCATTAACATTGGCACCATAGTTGACGAGCTCAGCCACCACCTTCTCCTGCCCTGCCAGCGCTGCGATATGGAGAGCAGTGTTCCCTTTCTTGAGGTCACATAAAAAAACCACAGAGAAGGCGAGAAAAGAAAATTAAAGTGAGTGAGAGGGCAATTATTACAGCCTAATGGCCTAGATCGCTACACTGAGAACTCAACAGTGAAATCTAGTCTGTGTAGTGTGTATAAGATTAAAAAAGCTATACCGACTAAAAGCAGGAAAACTTTGTTTTAGTTTATTTAGTTGTTCATCAATAAATACCTTTGGTATAAATGAGAAACACTTAAACTGTCTATTTAAACTGTGTTTAAATACAAAAGTATTACATAAAAAAATGTTGTGTATCTGTATTGTAAGTGTAGTTTTCCATTGGTCCCAGTATTTACAACTCAACTCAACTAAACAAACCCTGAGTTAAAATAGTAAAATAAGTTTTGGGAAAGTGTGGCAGTTACCACAGTTCACTCACTTCAAGTTGGAAACATAGAAACAGAGAGAACAGAAAAAAATGTACCTTTGTAGTTGCTTCCAGCTCAATGCCAGAATGGAGTAATTCCAAGACCATTTTGACGTGGCCTTCTTTAGAGGCGAGGTGTAACCCGTTAAGACCATTCTTAAGGAGGAAATGGAGAGATTTAGTTACACAAACAACTCCCACCAAAGCTATAATAGTAAAGCTTAGACATGAAAGCATTTTATGACCTTTGAGAAAAGGAAACAATATGCTATCCATGCTGTGGTTTGAGTATAATGTGTAGGACTTGCTGCTGAACATAATCAGACTCCAAAGCTTATACAGTTCTCCATCGGTTCTAACTCCACCCACTTCATTGACAGGTAATTAGGAAGCCACAAGAGCAGAGGATAGAAATGGTATTCTTCACTCCTATACCCCTGTGAGTGCAGCAACATATGCTCACTTTCTCTAGCTGTGCAGAACATCACTTGTCTAGTTAGAGTGTCTCTAAAAATAACGGATAAACCCACTGTGACAGCACGAGGGCTCAGTTCTGAAAAAATGAACTTTCTGATGAGACAGCTGTTTTATCTCAGCATGGTTTGTCTCTCTTTGTGATTATCTGTCTTTTTTGTGGCAGCTTAGTTGCACAGTGAATTACTGATGTTTGTAGAAGATGCAGTCTGCCTGTAGTAAACAATCTGGCCACCAGGAGTCTCAGTGATCCACAAACTCTCAGACTTCTGATCATACTGCAGTGTCACTCAATTCAAATGGGTAACAGAGCATCTCTGCGAGCATGCGCTCTGATGGGAAACACACTTTGTATCAAAGGCAATTACACACACTGTAACGTGTGAATGTCTGCTGCGTGTAGATGTGATTGAAGCAGCTACAGGGTGAGATTTCTTTTCTTTTTTCATCATAACACACAAATAATGGAATAGCTGTGGAAATTAGTTAGGTAGGTACAGGTAAACCAAGAACAGTCTGTATTTCTGTAGCAAGGCCAGATCATTGCTGCAGAATCACATATAATATATATCATATATAAATATACCATGTCTGCCCTTGCTTTCATCATGAGCAAAAAGACATCAATGTAACAGTAAACAAATAAACATAAGATAAAAACAATATTTAATAACTTAAAAATGATCAGAATTGTGGGTATTAAATCCAATTTTTTTAGATTCTATTAACAATAGTAACTACTGAGCAACCAAGGCTTCCAGGTCAAATCCTGCTCTCTGGTGTGGCTGTAGGTCTGCATAGAGATTTCTGCCCATGAAATCACCAAGTGCTCCTCTACCGCACCTGCAAGCTAACCAGCCAATAACCAGCCAATATGCATTTTTTATTGACATATTTTTTGTTTTCAAAGAATATAAAGGGAAAAAAGTGATGCCATTGTATAGGGCCAATTTTATGGCAGAATTCTAGGCAATATGGTACCAGGAAACCATCATAATCAAAGACATCTAACTTTTCTTTTACTTTTTTTACTTAACTCTTCCAATCCAGGCCTGTGAAATAAATCTGAGTTTATTAAATGCCCCACACTACCAAACCAAAGCAAACCAAAGGGCTTTCTGAGCTTCCTGCTTGAAAATGACATGCCCAAAATGAATGGAGTTGTCTCTGCAATTACAAACTCTGTGTAATGTAATGTGTAATATGTACTGATGCAATTCTCATTTTGAAGTGTGACCCACAGTGATTAGTGAAATCCACTGCACATCCACTGTTATTTTATTTGTGTGTTACTCTTCCTTCCCTCACCCCAAATGGTCACGACAGATGGCCACCAGTCCCTAAGGCTGGTTCTGTTTGCGGTATCTTCCTGGTAAAAGTGAGTTTTTCCTTCCCACTGTCACCAAAGCACTTGACCATAGGAGGTCTTATAATTGTTGGGTTTTTTCTGTCTCTTTTGTGTTATTGTCTTTACCTTATATAAAGCACCTTGAGGCAGCTGTTGTTGTGATTTGGTGCTATATGAAATACAATTGAATTGCATTACTTCCATCAGTAGTGCATCACATACTGAGAGTAAACATTAACTGTCAAAAATGACTTACATTTCAGTAGCGGTGTTTTATCCATGTATAAAAGCATTCGTCATTCACTAAAAATCCTCCCATGCCACAGCCAGCCTAAACAAACTTTTATGTAATATGTTTTTTTCCTGGATTTTTGGTTGGTATTCTCTCTCTCTCCAGTAAAACAAAACTACCATAAAATTAGATACTGTTCATTTCTTTGTAATTGATCAAACTTACAAATTTAGCAGGGGTTCAAATAATTATTTCCCCAACTGTAAATTAACCCCACCAACCCCATCTTCCAAGTAGAGTGGTCAAATATCCAGCCAGGCTTATGCTGATGGCTAACTAAAGTGGGAAATGTAACCAAATATTAGTTGGGGTGTATATTTATACATATCTGACTGTGTGTGGATTATAACCACCCGCCCCAAAATTCAACCTTGTGCATCCAATTCGTATTTTCTAGTCATTAAAGATGTGTTATGTAGTTATTCCACCCCGGAAAAAGAACAGTTCAACAAAATCATTAAAAATCCCAAATTATCATGGCATTCATGACCATGATGAGCATATGTAAACTTTTGACCACAACTGTACTTAAATATTAATATACCCTACTTTACAAAATGAAAGAAACCCAGGGGGGTCTAGGAGTCATGAATAGTTAATTTTCTTTTTGGTTTATATTTAAATCCTTTGCTGATTTTTGCAAAATAGCACTCTACTGATAACACTGAAATAATGGTATGGCATTAAGTATTCCTCTAATGACAAAAATCTATGCAGTTTGTTTAATGGCAAAATAGAATGAAAATAAACTGCAATTATCTATTTAGCTTGTTTTGTAATCCTGACATTCTTAGCAAGGGAAAACCTTTCTTTCCTACAGTTTAGTGCTAAAGAGCTACAGTACTATATAGGTTGTAGGGAAATCAATCTTTCCATTTTTTTATTTATAATTTAATTCTTTAAGCTAGTGAAACATTAATCATCAAGGCAAAGTACTTACAGTACAGATTTGAGTACATATACTCACCGGCTACTTGATTAAGTATGCCTGTTCAACTGCTTGTTAATGTAAATATAAAATCAGCAAATCACAAGGCAGTAGCTCAGTGCATTTAGACATGGTCAAGATGACCTGCTGAAGTTCAGAGGCTCAGAATCGGGAAGAAAATTAACTGAAGTGACTTTGAATGTTGCATGGTTGTTGGTGCCAGACTGGCTGATTTAAGTATTACAGAAACTGCTGATTCACTGCGTTTCAGCCCATCCTGCGTTCCTCAGGTGACCTTAGTAGCTCAAAATGTCTTGCAGAGGTTTCAGACCTTGGCCCCTGCGATGCTAATGTTCGATGCTTTTTTTCACAGCTTGTCTCATGTGACGACTTACGAGGATAATAGTGGGCCAATGACCTTCAACACCATTTTCAAGGGGGGTTGCATACCTCGGACTCTTTATCCGTAGTTTAGAACTGAAGAAACCTCTTGGATGACACGTGAAAGCACTCAACATTAGCTGGATGACTGAAAAGCTACCAAGACACATGATCTATTGGGACTTTCCCACACAACCAACTTTAGGGTTTGCAGAAAATGATCAGAAAAAGAGAAAATCCAGTTGTTCATGTCAAAGGTAAGGGGAGAATGGACAGTATGCTTTGATTTTATAAGATGGCAACAGCAACTCAAATAGCCCGTCATTACAGCCAGTGTATGCTGAGAACCATGTATGAAATTACAACACATCAAACTTTGAAGCAGATGGGGTATAGTGGCAAAAGACCACACTCAGTGCCACTCTTGTTAGCTACCGTGCACAGGCACGTGCAAGAATATTGGAAAAACATTGGCTGGTCTGATGAGTTTCATTTTCTGCTGAGATATTCAGATGGCAGGGTCAGAATTTGGAGTAAACGGTGTAAAAAATGCGATCGTCCTGTTTTTCAGTAGTGTGATGGTGTTAAGGATATTTTCTTGTCACGCTTTGGGCTTCATAAGAAATAACTTAGGAATGATTATATACCACAGCCTGCCTGAGTATTATTGCTGATCATGTCTGTCCCCTTATGACCATCTTGTGATGGCTGCATCCAGCATGATAACTCACAGTCGCAGAAAGCTCAAAACTGTGTGATGCTCATCATGTCAATATGGACTAAAGGCTCTGAGAAATCTTTCCAGCAATGTTTTGAATCTCTAATATGAATATTTAAGGTTCTGCAGGCAAAAGGGAGTCCAACCTACTACCAGCATAGCATACCTGCGACAGTAGTTAGTGAGTATATTTTACTAGTAGGATTTGCCCTGGTGTAAAAACTTCACCATTCACTCATGTGTATATATTCTACTTTTATCCATAATCTTGCTGAGAATACTTTAATGATGGTTTAAAGATTTTTTTTCAATGAGTTATCAAGGTTTTATCATATCAAGGATGGATCTTCCTAAAGGTTTGGCTCAATGGTGTAATTACAGGTCCCATTTATTCCAAAAATAGTATAATGGTGTGATATTTTACAAAAGGTATCTTGCAAGAAGTGATTAAAGGAAACAGTACAAGCAGACAAAACTCGTTCCCAACATGCTGCCCTAGAGCAAGTAATAAATGAACAGGAGGGCAAGAGATGTGCAAGGGCACATTAAGTGTCACAAATTTCTTTACTGCACTGGTAGAAATTTCTCCTGAGAAACATTAAGAGACCAAACAATAAAGCTTGGTCTGCTCCTATTATGTGCTCTTGTTCAGTGGTACTCTTTCACTTTTAACAGTGCACTGAAATGTTTATTACTCCAATACTAACTCCATGGTGGATTTGGAGAAAGAAAGGTATGATTATTAGATCAGTCAAAGCTAATTCACTTGTACCGATAATAGATTGCTATAGGTTGTCCATTTTTCCAGAATGCATGATGACTGATCTAGGGAAGATCTCACTGAGAAAAAGGCTTGGCACTGAGACCTTGTTATACACCCTCCTCTTTTATTTGCTTTCTCCTGCCTCTTTTTCTCTTTCCTGCTCCCCTGTCTCCTCTGTTCCTCATTTTCACCTAGGTACACCACGTGGAGTAATGGATGAGCTAGTAGTCTGTTTTTTGTGGCTTTACTTGTTATTTTAGCCTTCTTACTTCATTAGTTTAGTAAGGGAAGTTCTGGGCCCTACAGCCCATTGGATGACTGGCCCAGCACCCTTTCTTGTTTTTGCTTCTTTAGGCCCAGTTTTCAGATGTTTTTATTTTGTTTTTCTTCCAATCAAATCACTTGTGTTGGTATATTTATACATTTATATATTTATATATGGTGCGGTCACCAAGATAAGTTGAGCCATTATGTATTTCTGGCTAATTTTTAATTTCTTTACATTTCAAAAAGCAAAACCAAATAGAGTAATGCTGCAATGTAACCATTTTTGTACCACAATTCTTATTTAAATGTTGTAACAGGTTTTGATATGAGCCCTGTTTTGCCTTTTTTGTTTATAGAAACCAGTGGCTGCCATTTTTTCTTAAACACATACACACAGGCATAAACGTAAGCAGATTTTTGATGGCTGTTCCAGTGAATTGGCTGAAACTGTCTTACTTGATTAGCTGTGTTGATGTCGATTCCATTCTTGATGTGATCGAGCGCCTTGTCCAGGTTCCCTGAACGAGCTGCGCGCAGAAAGCTGGTGGCTGCATCGGCCTGCAGAAGGTGGAGGAGAGGAGGAAGCGAGCACGCAGGTGAATACAAATCACTGCGTCAAACTTTCACATCACAGCGATGACTGATGACAAAATTGCTTATTTGTGAAATTGTAAAAAGAGCAACAATATGCAAAGATCCTTCAATATTAACTGTTCCTCCAACATTATCCTTACTATCAAGTTGTAGTTACACTAAGAGCCTCAGTCAGGTTACACATCTTAATCCATTATAATAACATGACTACCCTTCAAGGCAAGACACAGGGCAATATGCAGGAATATGATACTACTGCACATTCACTGCTTCTATGCCCTCTGTAAGAGGCTTAAAATGTCAGACTCCTTCCATTCGTGTTTCGCCCACACTCTGCATTGGGCTGGCATTCATAGCACGCTTCATCACAAGCTCCGCTGTCTGCCTGTCTGATCTCAGACAGGAAAGCTCCTGTGGTTTGTATCTCATTGTGTGTCAGTGTTTGTACGCCCACCCCGATTTCATTTATCAGCAAATAATGTAATACAACTGACCTGCACAATGAAATGATTCAACGCTGTGAAAGAGAAATGTTATGCAGTGTACTGCACTCTTGACCCTCTCTCCACCCTTGTCACCACCAGTTTGAGCTGTTATTCCCAAGTACTTTAATTAGGCTGAACTGCTTAAAGATATGCTTGCCCTTTTCAAGTCACTGAGTCATCTTTTCTTCTCTCCTCACAGCTCATGTGAAAAATAACACTTTTACAGGATTCCATGCAGTCCTGTGAAAAGGTACACCTTGACTGCTTCCATAACAATTAGGAGGGAATGTGGCAGCCAGGTGCTGCTAATTGAATGCGCTTCATTGACTGATCATCAGCAAATAAGTGGGTAAAAAAGCAGATGTTTTGTCAGTTTGCAGGTCTGGAGCATTCAGGTGCGTTTTAACATAATACCAAGGAGGAAAGACATCAACTCTTAGAGGAGCTCGATTCGTTCATGTTACTCTAAGTGCCCTTTCCTGAAGTCAGCACAGGCATCTATCTTGGCACCAATCTATTGTTTAACTGGTACGTGATTTGTGTAAATACATTTGACGATACTATAAATATCATACATGTTACCTGTTACTCTTATCTTCCTGCGTGCGTATTTGAAGGATAATATTGTATTATCTATTCAGCATCTGGTCTCTTTACTTTGAACATAAGAGCTAGACAGCAGTTGTGCACAGCAGAGATGAGAGACAGGACCTCAAAGACTCACTATCAGTGACAGGAGCCTTCCTACTTTACAATCCAGTGTGCTGCTACTGTGTACATTGTAGGTGTCTGTCACATTATGGAGAGTCTCTTATGAATATTCTATCTTTAGGAACTGGCAAGTGAACAGAGAAGATATTTTAAACAGTACATGATAATTACTCTGTCTTTACAGAATGTGGTAACCTGTTTTTCCAGATGAGTTTTTTTTCTAATACAAACAATTACAGTTGCTCTTTTCAACTCCACACTGCAGCTTGTGAAGCTTGTGAGGCAATTTATGCATGCTGAATTTTGGTTCTGTAGCTTTGCTGTTTTTCCTTTACATGTCTTCAGGGAGAAGTTCAGCTTTTCAAGCAGCAGTGTAGGGCCCAGCTATTTAAATCTTGATTATTTTACTGTGCCAGCATAGATAATATCTGATCAATGCAAATATCCTGTGAGAACAGGGGACGGTGGTTAACCTGCATCAAGTTTGAAAAGGCGTGGCTGTTATTAATAATAAAAATAATAATAATGGATTGCATTTATATCGCGCTTTCCTAGACATCCAAAGCGCTTTACAATTCCACTATTCATTCACATTCACACAGTGATGCAGGCAAACTACAGTTGTAGCCACAGCTGCCCTGGGGCAGACTGACAGAAGCGAGGCTGCCATATCGCGCCATCGGCCCCTCTGGCCAACACCAGTAGGTGGTAGGATGAAGTGTCTTGCCCAAGGACACAACGACCAGGACAGAGAGAGCTGGGGTATCGAACCGGCAACCTTCCGGTTAAAGATGAAATTTTCAACCACCTGAACCACGGTCGCAAATTATACACCAAAACTGGTGTATAATCCTCCAGTTTTATAACCTCATAATACCTGCTTATCAAGCTGATCAAGGTCGCTTGTCACATTATTTTACACAATTGCTGTCACGATCAAATGGGTTCTAGCAAAGACTCATCACAAAAAAAATGTGGTCCTGAACCCTGCTGGTGTTCAGCTAAATTTATTTATCATGCGTATATTACGCTGTGATTTATTCTACAACCAAAAGCCATTTCAGATCTCGGTCCTTTGCCTCATTTATCTTGGTGTCATAATATTACTGATCACAGTCTACACCTGCATCCCCTCTCTTCTTCCCAATGAGTCTGTGCCATTGTTAAATGAAGCCATTTTCTATTTGCATTTTTCATGTGGCAAATTATTTTGTTAATGAGTGTTGGTCAGGTGAATAGACCCAGCCACAACATGAGGCATGAGCTGACCACATTTAGCTGAAAATGAAAAATCCAGAAACCCATTCTGCACCACTTCGCTTCTGCTTCCCTCCTCACATTCTACAGTATTTTCCCCATATTCATGTGTTCCCCATTGTGTTTTATGCTGTTTGTGTTGCTGTTGCTCTGCAACACATTTACTAGTGCCTGTTATTCTTCTTTGTTATTGTTTTGTTAGCTTTTTTAATTTCACACTTTATCCTGCACATCCTTCTAGATAAACAGTAGATGTAGAAGTAGACACAGTAGAAGTGACAGTTAAAAAGGCACTGAACTCCATGATGTATTTAAGAAGAGGCATAGTGATAGCTGCACTACTGCTTAAAAGTTTGCAGTTACTGACAAATGTCACTGTTTCAGGTTCATTCAATATATTCAAGGTTCAATTCCATATATTCAAGTTTTAATCAAAATGTAGTGATATGTAGTGTGATATGTAGTAAGCTAATTATCACCCAGTAAATGAATATAATTTGATGATTTCAGACTTATATTTCAGACTTATATTTCAGACATAATTTGTATTGTCAAGGTCAAGAAATATTAACGTCAGAAAACTGTCTCTTACAGTAAGTTTGCTTGTTCACCTCTTAGTTTTCAGCTTTATCAAACTAAACATCTGGAGATAAGTTTGTCAGGAGGAAACAATCATTTGTGGGAGGCTTCTTCTTCTTCAATTTTTGGAGGTCATAAAATACACAATTTTTTACTAATATATATATGAAAACAAATAGTTATGCGACGAATTGTTTTCTAAATTATACATTTTCATTGTTTTTAAAGCTCGCAGTTTAAAGTAAGAATGTAGCCACTGTGACATCACCAAGTGATATTATGAAGCCTCAAGGTCCTCGAAAAGGAGGAATAAAGCAAATGCTTTATTTACTTTTATACTTATAAATGCTGCTGCCTGCAAGCTGCAAAAATTAATGAAACATTGAGTATTTTGTTTATCTGTCATTAGAAATATAATAATCACAAATATTCTAGAAAAATGATAAAATAGGAGCCTGTATCTCCCACTCCACTGTCTATGCATGTCGCAAGTCTACGACAAGTATGTGCAGGCATTTGACGACAGTTTTAAATTCATTATAAAAGGCACAATAACACACAGCCGTTGCACAATATACTACAAAACAATAAATCCAATTAGTTTGTCTTAAAATCTGAATTTTGAATGAACTTAAATACTACAATATTCCTCGGGCACTGATATGCTGAAATTTTAATATCTTCACCTGAAATACTAACTGGTGACTTAGGGGAGGCAGAAAGATGATCTTTGCAAAACCTCAAGGAATCCCACTACAACTGATGGACAAACACATACAAAGTATGAAAGAAACAAGTGTACTTTGAATAAAACTTTCTTATTTACTCCCCAGGGTTTGGCTAACCTCTCAGAAGCCAAAACAGGACCTGATACAGAGGTCAATGCTGAGCAAAGTTCTTGGTAGGATGCAACGTGTGAAAAGCTCTTCTGTCAGGGTTCTTAAACACACAAAATCTTGCCATCACATCAAACCTACTTTCATCAACCTACGCTCCCAAAAAAGTACTGTAGCCAAATTTTGCATGACAAAAGCTATGAAAGCAAAGACTTCAGAAAGAAAATACAGAGGCAGAGAAAACTGAAGCAAAAGTCCCATGACTTCACACACATGGAAATGAAAGCAAAAAGGGACCCATGCAAGATAAATATATGCATACACACTAATGCAAATATGCAGGAATAGTCTATTGGAAGGGACAGGAACTGCATGAGTAACACCTCATTTCCTACAAGATGAGAAATGTTAAGACACGTATGGCAATGAGTCATGGAGCATGGGGAGAGAAAAATATAATCTGCTAAATAAGCTGTTGCTGGTCTTAGTTTGACATCTATGTGACTAATTTAATGTTCTGAGACAGCGGTGTAAATGCCAAATAAAGTTTTTCAGTATCAAGTGCACAATTCTAGCATTTAGCTTTTCCCCAGGTGATTTTGAGAGGGAAGATATAGATCATGAAACTCTAAATATCACAAAGTCTGTACTGGAAGCGTTTTGTTGACTTTCTGTGCTGTGGGTATTTGACATTAGTCACTGGCAGAACACTGGATGTCTGTACTTATCGTAGTGACAGCGCCTGTCACATCTAATTTTGAAATGAGTTCTTGTGTCACTTAAAGTTGAGACTTCTTCCAACAGTTAAACATGCATCTCGTCTCCTCCACACTGGAACTTTTGCATGTGCATGGATGTGTTAGATACATATTTTTTTTTGAAAATTAAGCATTTGGGATTGAATTTCAGACTTTCAGCAGTTATTTGACCGTAATTTGATGAAATTACTGCATTAAGTCCTCAGGAATTACAGCTATTTTTAGATGTGCAAAATTAATTGGACAAACTAACATTTTTTTTAATAATATTTTTTTGTATTTGTATGAAAATCCTTTGCAGTCAGTGCCTGCCTGAAGACTAGAACTCCAAATGGACA